GTTATTTAATCACATTAAACATATATATTAATGTATGCTAAATTTATTCTCATGCTACATGAACATCGTTTCCAAATTTCCATCAGGTAATTTATTTAAATTTCATATACTACTTAATCGGTGGACAAACCCCCTATAAAAATAAAATTCAATTTTCGAGAGAAACATGAACACCTAAGGTCTCAAACATCTTTAACCTTCGTACTATGTCACTGAATTATGAAAATATGCTTTAAAACAAAATTTTCATATTTTCTCATTTTTCTCAAATTATGTGTGTTAACCCTTATGAAAAAAAATCGAGATTTAAAAAATTGCTATATTCAGAAATTTAGGCTCTTTCTTGTTGATTAAAAATTACCTAAGCACATTATAAATTTTTATTAATGTATGTTAAAACTATTTTCATGGTACATGGACATCATTTTTAATTTTCCACCAGGTAATTTATTTAAATTTCATATACCATTTAATCAGTGGACAAACCCTCTATAAAAAAAATCAATTTTCTGGAGAAACATGAACAGCTGAGGTCTCAAACCTCTTTAACCTTCGTAATATGTCACTGCATGATGAAAATATGCATCAAAATATAATTTTATTTTTCTCTTATTTTTCTCAAAATATGTGAGTTAACCCTATGAAAAGATCAGGTTTTTCAATAAATGTTACATTCAGAAGTTTAGGCTCTTTATTGTTGATCAAAATTTACCTAAGCACATTATAAATTTGTATTAATCTAAGTTCAAACAATTTTCATGGTACATGGACATCATTTCTAATTTTTCAACATGTAATTTATTTAAATTTCATATACCACTTAATCTTGGACAAACCCCCTATAAAAACAAAATTCTATTTTCGAGAAAAACATGAACACCTAAGGTCTCAAACCTCTTTAACTGTTATACTATGTCACTGCATGCTGCAAAGATGCATCAAAATAAAATTTTCATATTTTCTCATTTTTCTCAAAATATGTGGGTTAAACCCTATAAAAAATCGAGTTTTTCAATAAATGTTATATTCAGAAATTTAGGCTCTTTATTGTTGATTAAAAATTACCTAAGCACATTATAAAATTGTATTAATGTATGTTAAAACTATTTTCATGGTACATGGAAATCATTTCTAATTTTCCACATGAATTTATTTAAATTTCATATTCCATTTAATCAGTGTACAAACCTCCTATAAAAAAAATCAATTTTCTGGAGAAACATAACTGCTAAGGTCTCAAACCTCTTTAACATTCGTACTATGTCACTGCATGATGCAAATATGCATGAAAATAAAATTTTCATTTTTACTTATTTTCTCAAAATATGTGAGTTAACCCCTACGAAAAAGTCGTTTTTTCAATAAATGTTATATTCAGAAGTTTAGGCTCTTTATTGTTGATTAAAAGTTATTTAATCACATTCAACATATATATTAATGTATGCTAAATGTATTTTCATGCTACATGAACATCGTTTCTAAGTTTCCATCAGGTAATTTATTTAAATTTCATATACCACTTAATCAGTGAACAAACCCCCTATAAAAACAAAATTCAATTTTCGAGAGAAACATGAACACCTAAGGTCTCAAACCTCTTTAACCTTCATACTATGTCAATGAATGATGAAAATATGTATTAAAACAAAATTTTCACATTTTCTCATTTTTCTCAAATTATGTGTGTTAACCCCTATGAAAGAATCAAGATTTTCAAAAAATGCTATATTCATAAATTTAGGCTCTTTCTTGTTGATTAAAAATTACCTAGGCACATATTTGCTAAACTTGTTTCATAGTGTATGAGCATCGTTTCTAATTTTCCAATGAGTAATGTATTTGAACTTCATATACCACATAATCAGTGAATTAAACCATATAAAACTCTACTTTCTTGAAATACGGGAACACCTAAAGTCTCAAACCTATTTAATATTCATAATATGTAAGTTCATGATGCCTCTATGCATTAAAGTATACATAATATATTTTCTAATTTATCTTGAAATATGTGGTTAACCCTTAAGGAAAAGATCGAATTTTATGATAAATGTTGTAAGATGAACTTAAGGCTCTTTATTATTGATTGAAAAATAACCAATCATATTCTAAATTTATATTAATTTATGCTAAACTTTTTTCATAGTACATAAGCATCATTTCTAATTTTCTTATAAGTAATTTATTTAAATTTCATATACAACCTCATCAATGAATTAAACCCTATAAAACCTTTTTTTGTAGACACGGAAACACCTAAAGTCTCAAACATATTTAATATTCATAATATATCAGTGCATGATGCATCTATGCATTAAAATAAAAATAATAGATTTTTCTAATTTATTTTGAAATCTGTGGGTTAACCCCTTACGAAAAAGAACAAATTTTACGAAAAATGCTGTAAGATGACCTTTAGACTCTTTATTTTTGATTAAAAATAACTAATCACATTCTAAATTTATATTAATGTATGCTAAACTTGTTTGATGGTACATGGACATCGTTTCTAATTTTCTTATAAGTAATTTATTTAAATTTCATATACCACTTAACCAATGAATTAAACCTTATAAAACCTTATTATTTGGAGATACAGAAACACCTAAAGTCTCAAACCTATTTATTCTTCATAATATGTCAGTTCATGATTCCTCTACACATTAAAATAAAAATAATAGATTTTTTAATTTATCTTGAAATATGTGAGTTAACCCCTACGAAAAGATCAAATTTTACGATAAATGTTGTTAAATGAACTTTAGGCTCTTATTTTTGAATAAAAATTAACTAATCACATTCTAAATTTATATCAATGTATACTAAACTTATTTTCATTGTACATGGATAATGTTCATAATTTTCCGATGAGTAATTTAATAAAATTTCATATACCACCTAATCAATGAATTAAACCCTATAAAACTCTATTTTCTGGAGATACATAAACATCTAACGTCTCAAAACTATTTAATATTTATAATATGTCAGTGCATGATACCTTTATGCATTAAAATAAAATTAAGAGATTTTCTATTTTTTAAAAAAATATGTACGTTAACCCATACAAAAAGATCATTGGAGGGTGTTATTGGTTTGTATATTTTAGTGGATTTGAAAATACAAATCAAATATAATGTTATTGGTTCTATGATATTAAAATCTCTATTCAAATTCATTGTTATTAGTTCTATGATTTTAAAATCTATATTCAAATTCATTGTTATTGGTTCTATGATTTTAAAATAGATTTTAAAATCCGGCGTTATTCAATAATAATGATTTGCTTGAGGATTCGATTTTAAAATAGATTTAAGTGGATTTGTGTGTTAAAAATACAAAGAAACAAATATTGAGTTAAACCTTGTTATTTTGATAGTGTATTATTGATTTTCTTAATAATTGTTTTCTTGCCCCAAGTTTTACGTACATATTATCCATGTTTCTCTAATAATAAGCAAATACTAATATATTAACCAACCATCTCTAACTTAACTTTACGTACACGTAGACGTTAATATAAAAATTTACCAAAGATCTCTCATAAGAGTTTTGGTCTACAAATGTTTTCTAGAGATTCTACTCCATAAATGACAAAGAGTTGTTTACCATCATCATGTTTTTCTGAGAAATGTTAAGAATTTTTGATATATTCAAATCTTGATTTTTAATATTTAATGTGCATCCCCTTTTGCTTATAAGACACAAACGGAGATAATATATGTGTCTTAGTTTACGTGTAGTCTTTTTAATAAGTTCTGACGAATCGATAACTTTTTTGAATAAAAAAGTTTTGATGAAGAAGAAGATTTTGAGGAAGTTACTGGAACTGAAAATCAACAAACAGAATATGCCAATCAAGTGAGAACGCCAATAATAACAAGTATGTGACAGATTTAATGTTATCATAATAACATAAGATATAGAAAATGATAAACCATATGTTGTAGTTTTATATATATTTTCTTTTGTTACAAAGCTGCGTTTATCACAAATCCATTTCGTTGATTTCTAATAATTCAATTATATTGATTTTGAAATCTATTTCATTGATTCTGAAATCTACGTATTTGATTCTAAAATGTGTGGATTTGTCAAAAATTTCGAAATCCAAAAAGAATTTCTAAATCTATAAAATCCTAGAACCAATAACCCCCAATTTAATGATAAATGTTGTAAGATGAATTTTAGGTTCTTTATTTTTGAATAAAAAATAACTAATCACATTCTAAATTTATATTAATTTATGCTAAATATTTATCAGAAAATATTACTTGCAATTCGAGCATATTACTTGGGTACTTACTTGCTTACTTTCCTCTTAGCTGTTGATGGTTTTATTATTTATACGCATATCTGAGTAACTCTCTATGTCTCCTCCTAGGCACCGTAACAAGTGAAACTTATCAAGATATTTATACACATACCACTTGATATGCAAGGATGTCTTGGCCCCGTTCATGAACCAGAACGAAATGTAAGGGATCAAGAAAGCTACCGAACCTATAAATGTATTGGTTTTTGAATGTCTCTTCTCTTATTAAATGTTTAGCAATGGCTTATTTACTTCTCTAACTGTTAAAACCAAAAATAGTGCAAAGACATTACACATATTCTTTTCCTTTAGTTTGCATTTATACATCCATAGGCTAACGTTTCTGAAACACTTGTCTTTGGCTCTTCAAGATTCTCAGTTCTGGAACCTTGTCTATATCTTCTTGGCTCATAAAGTAATATTACGTTTTTGGGCGGAAGTAAGCAGCCTTAGGCGTTGAGAGCTTCTTGTGATGTGTTTGATGAGATGAGCCAAGCAATGAACTGATATGTGTTTGTTTATTTTTCTTGTTTTAGCCAAAGCTACAAAATGCAATCTACTGACTTGTTGATTCTTACTAGCTATATCATATTTCTTAATATTTATTTATATAAAATGTAAAATTCAAATAAAAACGAATGGACAATGCTTCGGACGTACCACCAAAGCAACAAAAAAAAGAAGAAGGGAAAGCAATAGAATAAACAAAGAAGCAACTCAGTCTCACGTGTGGACCCAAAGTGGGTCGTGTTATAGTAGTTGCCTCATCAAATGGGCAATGAAAATATTGTCTTGTATCGTGAGAGTTACGACATATGATATTTAATTACAACACGCGATAACTTATTATAAAAGAAAGAAAACAATTGCATGCAAATTGGTGAAGAGAAGTAGTTGCTTGCTTTAGGTCCCAGCAATAAGAAAAAGAGAGAAAGAAAGCACATGGTAGGGGTCCATTTATCCTCTCCTGTCCGTTCGTGGATGTTTCGTTTCATTCATCAATAAACTTCTTTGCACCGAACTTAACACATACCACAAGGTCCACAATAAAACTCTAAACAAATAACAATACTAATAAAAAGAAAAAAAACATCTTAAACATACATTACATCTCCAATAACATTATCATCACAAAAGAAAACATTAATAGTATAAATGGAGAATGGTAACGTTATCTAAAAGGTTCTGCTAGCTCCTGTACAATGCCAAAGATTTGCATGTAGGTTAATTATGATAAATAAGAGACTTATCTCACCACCAATATTCAAACTGATATTCATCTTGTTTTAGTGCCACCAAGAGTAAGCTCAAGATCTTCTACACCAACTTCATGAATCATTTCACCTTCCCATGGCTTAACAGTTCCATTCTCAAACTCAAACTCTGAACCTCTCACATTAATTCCCGACATCCCCCAGTCTGATCTCTTCATGTCAATGACCATAGATGTTTGCTTCACAAGATTAAACGTTGGTGAGCTAGGAGCTGTAGATTGAAAATTAATCCACCTTCCTGAATCCTCAAACGAACTCTCCTCGGACTCGTCACACTCCGGTATTGTAGGAGGTGTTTGGTGACCAGCACGGCGTGTAGGACTAGATGGAGCTGAGATAGCGAAAAGTGGATGTCTTGGTAACTGTTGTGTCATTAGTTTCCTCTTTGAGCCACGAGAAGTGGGAGAGGATAAAGGTGGAGTTACGGGTGCACTGTTGGATATTCTAAGTGGGGGGAGGTTTGCTGGGATGGAAGAAGCGATGTTGTGTAGGAAAGGGAGGAGAAGGTAGGAGGAAGGGTTTTGGTCGTAACGAGATGGGCTTGGGAAGGAGGATGAGACAGGACTTCCATGGTAAGAAGGTGCAGGGCTTGGGAAAGCAGATGATTGTGGACTTGGTTGGATTGAAGAGTTTGTGCTGAATGTTGTAGGAGTTCCTAACATGTCTGAAGCTGGTGGCTTAGACCCCTGTCACATAATTCAAGAATCAGTTATCCCTTAGGCTGAATATTATTACAACATACTTCTTCATGTTTAATAGATGACATTGTCGAGATATGCACAAGAATTAAGAAACATTTAGTTTTTTTTTTTATATATTTTCCATACAAAAATACTACTCCCTCTGTTCTATTTTATTTGTCGTTCTAGTGAAAAATAAATAGTTTTAAAATAAGTGTCGTTTTATAATTTCAGTGCAGAATTTATTAGTTTTATCTACTTATCTATTTTTCTATTGGTTAAAATATGATTAAGTGTATAGATAATTATTTTTTATTTTTTTGAAAATATATAAAATTAAATATTTTTTTAATATGTGTGCATAAACTTAAAATGACAATTAAAATGAAACGGATAGACTAATAAACATCAACTTAATCACAACACAACCATTAATATAACAATCTGCATAATACTAAAGTTCATATAACATAAAACATAATTAATTTTTACATAAAACTGATAACATGATCGAATTTGTAACAAACAAAAATCTTTAAAACCTCAAGTACTAAAAACCAGAGACTATGATGCAGTTTCATAGTCAAGGTCAATGGTTTTGATAGGTCTAGTCAAGAAGAAACATTCTTGGAATCACCAAAATAATAATAACAACGAAGAAACAAAACAAGACTAAGTTACTAATGAATCATTTCTTCTCATCTAAAAGTATTTTAGGTTAATTAATCTTTTTTAAGAAAGATCAGTACCTTGCGATAAGTGGTTCCATCTTCTTCAACGATCCAACCAGCTTCTAAACAAAGAGCTTTAAGAACCTCGTTGTTATCACAGTGCTTAGGAAGCTTGTAGTTACCTTGACCCCTGAGACCAGAGTAAATCTTTGCCGTGATAGCTCTTCTCCTCCTCTCTCTCTTCTTATTGTTCTCTCTCTCCTTCCACGTCGGAGTTCTTCCCGACGATGATCCTCCTCCTCCTCCTCCTGCCGCCATTGAAAGAGCTCTGATCTCTCTATCTTTGTGTGAAAGTCTTTGTCAGTCTGGCACACGAGGGAGAGAGCGTTTGTTTATTTATTACGGTGACTCTTTAAGCCTATTGGTTACTACAACTTTTCTTCATCGTGTCTGAATATAAATGACTTTAACTTGTTTGTCTCTCCGTACGTGCGATCCGTGGGTCCGCTTTGCAAGCTAGTTTACACGTGTTGGATTAATGTAATGCACGAGCTGTGGTCCCCTCGGTGTTCCCCCTTCACTATTCAATGAATTGGTATCTTTTCTTTTTGCGATTTAATGGTGTTTTGGCACAGAAAGCATTGTAAACATAATTGAAAATAGATTTGCATCTCTTTTTCATATTTTTAAAAGGGAAATATGACGACATGATTGCATATTGTCATATCATGCGTTTGCAAGACATTGATACAACTCACAAGAGTTCCACATAATTTTCTTTTTTCACAAATAAATGTATGTGATTTATTCGAGTTGTCTAATCGAATAATTGAAATTTGTTATATTAGTTCATGTATAGGCATAAATCTAAAATGATGTTTTCTAAAAACCAAATATTTAGTGAGGGTTTGATTTGTAGCATCTAAATAACTCAAAACGGTGAGATTCAACTCAATAAAAATCCAAAGAATTTACTTTAATTATTAGATGTTTAGCAAGTTCTATAATCATCAACATACATTAAAAGGGAATAAATTTGATGTCATTCAAATGTATCTACCTAATTAAGAAAACTAAAAACAGATTAAGCATAAAGAAATGACACCATTTGGATATGGTGGTCGGACCACGTGCGGTTCCAGTTAGGCGTGAGCAAAGACAGGAAGCAGAATCCACAGCTGGATTCATGCTATTATTACAGTCAAGCCAACTAATTTTAGGAGTATTGTTATACACAACCTTTTATTTATATATTCACCGATTAATTTTTCATAATTTTAATTAATTTTTAAAAATTTGAAAAATATTACTTGTTTGGTTTTATTATATGCTTTATTTTGTGTTTGCAAGAACACGAAACTAAAAAAAAAAAATTTTACAGTAGACAAAAAATAAATTACAATAATTGGTGACACAAAAAAAAAAGATCCTAACTTTGGATCAGATCACCTACGTGGGTGAATATTATTAACAAAAAATAAATTTGGACGCCATGGTCACGTACATTTAATCTACTATGATTTATAGTTGATTAATCTTAATCAAACAAACCAACAATTCTTGCTTCGGTCAACATTGGCTATTGCGTTTGTTTATTATCTGTGCGCTTGTAAATTTTTTGCAAAACTTTTTTAAAAAAATCGTTTTGCTAATTTGATAGCAACTCATAAATTTAATTACGTGATTCTTTCATAATTTAGAAGTTTAATATTTTTAATAACGTGATTCTTTGAAAGGTGCCTTTGTGCGTGAAGCTGATGCCCTTCCAATGGGCTTTTGTTGATACCACACTCTTATAAACTGAAACCGAACTACCAAACCCACATTTCAGTCCAAGGGAAAGGGAGAAAGTAATTTACAAAAGCAAACAACACACACAAGGATCCTTTGAGAACAAGAAATGCAATGGAATATAAAGTGGTTTCAGGTTCTTATCTTTTTTGCTTGAAGCAGAGCTTTTGTTAGATACATCGCCAAAAAAAAGGTCTGACCAACATATCCACCAATCATGGCCCTTCGAACATTAGTCTCAAAGAGCTTTGGATTATCCTTTAAAACCTGTGCAGCTTCATGGTTCAAAGGATCTTCAGAATTGGGTTCCTGCGTCAGTACAAAACACTAAGTATAAGGAAATCAAATAACACAAAGAATGATGTATCAAGCTATAATGTTTTTTATTACCGTGAAAAGATGGAAGAGTCCATAGATAACAGTGTTAATGTTAAGAACTGGTTTCCAGTCTTCACGCAAGATGTTGAGGCAAACGTTTCCTTCCAAATCAATATTAGGATGATAAACCTAATCAAGAAAGTAAACAAATATCTTTACATATATAAACAAGTAACATTAATAAAACTACAAGAACTGCAAAATTAAGGAGGATGATACTATTCACAATCATTCCTTGGTTTTGCATTTAGCTTTAGGAGCTTCATGAGGATAAACAGGAGACACTTGGAACGTGAAAACAAACTTATACAATTCAAAACAACAATGATTAACAAAACTTATAAAAGCCTTTTAGTAATGTTTTGTAAAATTAGTAACAAAACTTATAAAAGCCTGTTATGTTATGGAAAATACTTAATGATGTTTGAAAATGAGCCAAGCCCATATATTGTTTCACAAATCAAACTCCCAGTACAAAGCCTCTCTGTTTTCTTTCGTATATTCAAAGAACGATACATGTACTATGTAGCTAGTGGAATCATGTTCGATTCGAGACGAATCTAATTGTAAGGTTGATAGATGGATTTGCTATACTTTGCATCTGAGACCGTACCAAAGTTCGTACATAACTCTTCCCATGTTACTGTTTTATTTATTAGTGGTAGAAATTAAAATTTATGGTGTGGTGTATAATCAATGGTTAATGGCGTCCATTCTTTTTGGAATCCCCGTGTCTTGTGGTATTGGTACATGCAGCGTGAAAATTTATAATATTTATTCTTACTTTCTCAATAATACTATCTATCATGATTTTTATATCTTAATTTGATATTTTTAGTTCTCTGTTTCTTTATCCATAAGCATCATGTGCATATATTCGTTTTATAAGAATATCAAATTATCAAAAATATACAACCGTGAAAATTACATACAAAAAGTAAAATTACAGAATCTGATTTCATTCGTTGATGTTGTGGTTTACAATATGAGAATGCATCCAAAAGGATTTCTGATAGTGTGTGAAACTATTGCTATCATATCAGTCATCGGAAATATTTGTTCGTTGATGTTGTGGTTTAGTGAATAATCTAATTAACTAAAGTAATCTTACATCCAGAGCTCTACTACATTAATAAGAAAAGTTATAGTTAGTTTATGCCTATGGAGATGCATATATTTGTAATGGTAGACAAAGCTGTATCCCATAATATTTTGTGACTATATAAACACATGCAGTATATCGTATAAAAGTATATACCTTTCAACTGGAAACTGGCCACTTGCAAAAAGAAACGAAAATGTCATTTGCATAATTTCCCAGCATTGTTTTTAACTTTAAAGAATTGGTTGGAAAAAAATAAACGAATTGCCATTGAAATAATACTTGTCACTTAATGTATCAAAATTTAACTTGATTTTTTACTAACTATATTGATTTTAAAGATATTTTAATAAATGTTTTGTAATTGAATAATTCTATAGATTTCCATTAATTATCTCTATTGTAACTTCTAAAATAGTTTTGATGTATAGCTATGAAAGTATATTTTTTTAAATGTTTGATATAACTTTGTTAACATTCTTATTTAGTGATACTCTTTATCCTAACAAGTTATAAAACCAAAACCTAATTAGCAACTAGAATCATTATTATCATTATTATTATTTGGAAGATAAGACTAATACTCTTGAGCTCACCAAAATAAACCAAATAATACAAAACATTTCACCAATTTGGCAAATATTAAATGGAAAATGTGGCAACACGTCAACTTTCAATATTACCAGATTTTCCAACTTTCACATAAACATCATCCTTTAGCACTATCATCTATATGTAAAAGATAAACTCAGAAACTATGGTGACACCTTTGGTTAAAACCAAAAACAAATTTACTAACAAATCAACAAATCATCTCCTTTAACATCGCCATTTAACTTACTATATGTAAAATGGATAAAACAGAAAATATGTGGCGACACGTTTCTAGTTTTAAAATCTGTTGTTTCCATTGTAGATTGAAGAAAGATAATATTTACAAAACAAAATGTTAATCTGACGGCTAAGGAGGCACCGCAAGCTATCACCAACGGTTGTCAGCTTATCCAATATTCACAAGAATTATTCAGGAAAATGCAGCTTATGATATATATCGGCTGACGTGTAGAGGGCCCACTTAGTTAAATTTGTTTTAAGACAAAAGATTAAACTAGATTGTAACAGGACTTTGGTTATAACCTATATAAAGCTGTCTTGCTTAGAGATATTATTATTCAATGTACATCGAATTCACTCTTTCTCTTTGTTTGTTCTTTCTTGATTTCGTTTTTGATTATCTTGTTGTGATTTTAGCAATGGCTATGGGGAAGCTTTTGTCGCAACGTTTGTTCAACATCTCAAAGATGTCATCTCAAGGTCTCATGAACTGTCGAATCTCGTCTTCTTCTTTAGCCGTGCGGACCAGGGTTCCTAAAGATCCAGGAGAGGCCACGGTTGATCCTGAGCCTGATGATCGGAGGTTTTTGAAGAACATCGCCGTGAATTGGATGGATACGGCTCTTAAGAAGCCTGTTGGTGAGAGTTTGATGGATAAGCTTCGTGAGATGGATGTGAACAAGGGCAGGATTCGTTTAGACGGGCTCTCACATCCTATGAAACCTGTGGCTGAGGAGGAGACGGTGGCTTTGGGGTTTACCGTGCAAGACGCCAAGAAGTTGCTTAGAGCTGCGCAGATTGAAGTTGTGAAAACGAAGTTGATGGAGACAGGGAAAAGCTGGATTAGTTACTCTGACTTTGTCAGCATCTGTAGTGATTCTTGTTTGGATCTTGATCATGGAACTTGGATTGCAAAGATGCTTGATGATTCAGGAAACGTGATCGTTTTGGGAGATTATGTTTGCTTAAGACCTGATCAGGTAACTTGTTCTTGTTCCTTTTCTTCTTTGGTTTGGCCAATTCCAAATAATCATTTAATTTAGATCAATGTTTAGAAAATTGCTAAGCTGTGATTATGTCTATACAGATTTTTAAAACTTGTTTTAGAAAATTTGTATTTATTTTGACCAATTTGCCGACTAAAAATATTGATTTGGATTATTGTCAAATTAGTCATTAGTCTCTTTAATCATGAGTTGTCTTGTGTGTTTTAAATGCTAATATAAAAGCTTTAATTATAGAGGTGGTGAATTTGTTGTTTTTACCCAAAAGTAATTTTATGTTTTTGTCTTGTGTATGATCAGGTAACAAAATCCATAGAGGGGCTGCTTCCATTACCACAGATCCATAACCCAAAGGACCCAAGAAGAAAGGAGCTAAAAGAGCTTGAAGCCATAAAGAAGGTCATTGACCAGAAAGCACATTCATTGGTGAGAAGAGAGCTTCAGGCTGGTCTTGGTTACATGATTCTCCAGACCGCACTGTTCATGAGGCTAACGTTCTGGGAACTAACATGGGACGTTATGGAGCCAATCTGTTTCTATGTCACATCTATATACTTCATGGCTGGTTACACTTTTTTCCTTAGGACCGCAAAGGAGCCTTCCTTTGAAGGGTTTTACCAAAGCAGGTTTGAGTCTAAACAGAGGAAACTGATGGAGACTCAAGATTTTGATGTTGGGAGGTATGATGAGCTGAAGAGGCTGTTTAATCCAAAGCCTTCTACAGCTGCTTTTTCCAAGATTCTTGGAACTATACAAAATTAATCTTTGATTAAGGACAACTTGTTACATTCCGTGTGATGGTGTCTTGGTGTCCTAACCTGAGAAATACTTATATACTATTAACAACCAAAAAAACTGTGAAAGAAAACAAAACAAAGTGTTCAAATAGGTGCGGCTTATGTTAATATTTGGAAGAGTAGATAATATATCTAATATAAATATATAATGTATATGTAATAAAAACTTTCAAAGTATTTATCATATATATTTTCCAACAGTATCTCCATATGAACTTTGATTTCTCAAGTGTAAGTTATTATTTTTAATTGGATACGATCATTGACTGTATTACTGTATCCAGATAATCACAATGATGCTAATGTACGTACCATATTGTCACGTTTTTATAAGTTTAATACAATAGTCGTTTCTCGTATAGCAACATGTATAACGTTGCCTAATTTTATTTCGTTGGACTTTGATTAAATGATTGACAGAACATGCATCGCGTGGTAGTTGTTGCTGTAACTTGTAAGCTCACCGTCCAAGTTCCCCTTTAAAATTAATTCACGAGACATCAATTACGACCGTGTAAATAAAATAGCTTAAGAGTTTGGTAGGTCAAACGTCACTTACCGCATATACTATGAATCAAGTGGACAATCCCAATAAACCAAATTACTCATTTTGGAAAAACCAAAAATGTGCTTCCCCTAGATTTAAAAATATAATGTTTAAAATTTTGCACATATATTAAGAAAGAAGAATCAACTCTTTAAGTTATTATTTTAATTTATCAATAAAATTCAACTATTCCTAATTTTATCTTTTAATTTATGTTTAATTATAAAGAAAAATATATTAATTATATTCTAATACATCAATCTTTTGTATACAAATTGAAAATTTAAAACATCATACATTTGAAGACAGAGGGAGTATTACAATACTTGACATAATTAACGATTAGGACAACCGACAAGTAATTATTTAATCCTATCGCTTGATTACGTATCAACAACCATCATTAAACTCAGACCAACTCAGTACTACAAAAAAAAAATGTATTCCGCCAAAGCATTATTTTAAAAACTTATTTCACGTATAAAATATCTTGTCTTATCAAATTGTGTGAAATAATCATATAATATAACTCGTTACTACTGATAATCCATCTTCGTAATAGTCGTCTGACGCATATTCCTAAATGTTCCGTCTTGGCATAGAGCATATTTATCGACCGACGCTTGTTAGATTTTCTCAGCCCACAAACTCTCTTTCCCGTCGAGAAGTGTTTGGATTTGTAACCTCTTTAATTATTATTATCTTCTGAATGTGAGTAATGAGTAACTTATCCCATAATAAAGATACTCAAATACAGTTTCCTATTCCAAAGATATCACAAGATCCAAATTTAGTTAAAAATCCTAAATTTTTTTAGAAACGTTTTACAAAATCAGATTTCAATATAGATACATACCTAAATTTTAATTTGTCACGTACCGACCACATGTGTGACAAATAATAATGGTCCACATCAATTACAAAACCGGCCATTTTGTGACCTATGTTGTTTTTACTTACAATTATTACAAAACGAAAAATGAAAATATGAAAAAGACACACACACACACATATAAAAGAACACTAGAGAGACTATAATAAGAACAAAGAAGAGTAGTCACCGACGATCACCGTCACCGTCCGATCATGTCAACGGCTCTGATCACCTCCCTCACCTACTACCTCTCCGAACATCCCTACATAGTCGGTTTCCGTTGGTGCCACAGCCAATCATGGGCCTCCACGTGGTCATTTCTCATCACCTCCATCTTCCTCTACATAACCGTCTCCTCCTCCCTCCACCTCCTCCTCTCCGCCGTCCTCCGCCGCGACCGCCCCGTCCCCTTAGGCCACCTCCCGGACATCCACAGCCTCCTCATGTCCCTCCTCTCCGCCACCATCTTCGCCGGCATCCTCCTCTCCGCCGCCGCGGAGATTCGCGACACACGGTGGCTCTGGCGCCGGAGCAAAACCGCCACCCCTCTCCAGTGGCTCCTCTGCTTCCCGCTCGGGACGCGCGCCTCGGGGCGCGTGTTCTTCTGGTCCTACGCGTTCTACCTCACGCGGTTCCTCCACATGCTCCGGACCGTCTTCGCCGTGCTCCGTCGCCGGCGCCTCGCCGTGTCGCAGCTCTTTTGTAACTCCGCCATGGCCTTCACGGCTTTCCTCTGGCTCGAGTTCTCGCAGTCTTACCAGGTTTTAGCTATTCTGTCGACCACGTTGGTTTACTCTGTGGTTTACGGGTATAGATTCTGGACCGGGTTCGGTTTACCCGGTTCGGTTTTTCCTTCGTTTGTGGTGAATTGTCAGCTGGTTCTCGTGGTTTGTAATCTCGTGTCTCACGCTGGGGTGCTTACGATGCACCTCGTTAAAGGCGGATGCAATGGGATCGGCGCGTGGGGGTTAAACTCTGTGATCAACGGTGCGAGTTTGTTGCTGTTTCTTAATTTTTATATGAGAATGCATTCGTCGATGCGACGTCGTATTGTTAACACTTCTCCCGAACTTGAACCAGCAGACGTAGTAATGCAGAAGTAGGGTGGTTCTCTTGAGTTGAACCTTTTTTTAATTCTTCTCACTAAGACAAATCTAAAACCTTCTCTAAATCACTATATAATTTAAAACTTTCGTTCTTGCTTAGCTAAGATACTGACTCTAGTATTGTATGCATGGTTAATTGTTAACAATTTACTTACTAATTTTCCTATTTGTTACATAACGTGTTTTGTTAAAGTTATTTGTAAGATAATTTTCATTTTGTAAGTCATATATTGCATCGATGATAGTTTCATAACTCATAAAGGGTGGTATATTTACATAAATACATGATTCTAGAGGCTGGTCTTCTACGCATAGTCTTAGTGATTGTGATGATCTTAGATTCTTAGGGTAGTTAGTGTATTTCATAGAGTACTCTAATGTGGTTAATTTAAAGGCGGGTGGGATCTTTAGAGACTGAAACGCAAGACATAACAAAATCACATAAATGGTAGCCAAACTTCTTAGCAAAAATAATGAAGTAGTTTGACTAGAAGCAGATTTTTTCCAACCCATAGCACACGAGTGTGAGGAAGTATCAACAAACCAGAGCACAATCAAAAGAAAAAAAAAAAAAAAAAACATTCCAGCTCAGCTATACAAGAATACTATGATATAAATCTAAGAAATGCCAAAGAAATATGTCCAGCCTCTTCAAAGAAGTAACCATCATATAATCCATTATCCTAACGCGGCATTTACAGATACTACTCATCAAGCTTTTAAAGATTTTACTAAGATTGCACTTTGCAACAAAAGCCACTTTAATTACTAAGGATGCCTCTATGCCCAAGAACTTGTTAGTTGAACCTCAACTAAAATATACGAATAAATCTCCTGACCTTAGTGCCACTTCCTGTTGCAACCATATCTCACTTTCTTCTCAAACTATCTAGGATTTCACTTCTTTCAAAACATATCAAAGTATTGTGCTTGTTACAGATGGCTATACCCAGAGCCGGATTTGAAAATTTGTAGGTTTGAAACCAAACTGGACAAATTCTCGCTTAAATTTGTCTCGATTATCAACGGCGGAATAAAAAAAAAGCACGCTCGTCCAAAGAAGTCCACTTAGACATGGCCGACCCAGAGCATAAGCAATTCAAGCTGCTGGTTAGATCATCCAATATGAAAGGGTTATTTTTATTAACATTTTCATACTAAATGTATCATTATTTATAATAAAACGTGATTTATATGAAAAAATAAAAGTGATAATTGTAAATATTTTAGTATCGTTTACGAATTTTATCAAAAAAAAATTGCCGGCGAGGATTCATGCATTCGTGGTGGTGTGGGAGAGGATTCATGCGAGTGGTGGCGGTTTGGGAGAGAATGTACATTAGGGTTTGTGTATCCCTTTAACATGTTTGATTCTGGTTTTAATTGGTTTAGCTTGAATCAATGATCTTAACTCTCGGTTCAATGAAGTCTCCAGCGAGGATTCATCTAAAGGCGTTCGTGGTGACGAAATATTAGTTTTTCTTCTTTTTTTCTATTTTTTTGGTCCAATATGATTTTGTGTGGAGATATTAGCAAAGAAAATGATTATGTCGAGGTCTAGCGGATGACAAATTGGTTACAACCCTACTCCTTTCAAATTGGACCATTGCAAATAGAGCATTTCTAGTGCATACATATATGTATGTTATGAACACAATATTATTAGAAACTATCCATAGAATAGTAATGATTCAACCTTGATTAGGTATCATGTGATTCTTTTAATGAAACAATTATAAATGTTCACTTCTAATCGTATATATGTTGTAAATAACTTTTCGTTTTAATTTATAGGATGACCATAGGTTTTTACATATAGTTTTTACAATTAACAATTAACAATCATTAGTAAAGATAATACTGGATAGTGATGTTTTATGTTAGTTTGATCAAATCTTTTGTATGCAATGATATCGCTAATATTATTGAGATCGATGAACATATTTAGTAGTTAGAAATATGTAAAAAGTGACATAATATGATTTTTCTCGACCGGTATAATACTATATTTTAAAAAATGGAATATCAACAAATAATTAAAAATTTAATAATATGAATATCAAATATATCAGCATATGATTAGGTTTAGTCGACTGAATCTTCTTCTTCAGTTATGTCGGATCTAAACTTTGGGTATACCACTGTGTTTATTGTAATAGTAGTACTTTAATTTACTTGAAATAACTAAATAATATCATGTACAATACGTCATGATTTTACAACTAATTCCAGATCTTGGGAAAATATTATAGGCAAAGAATTTAAGAAGCTAAGTTTATAATTATGGGGCAAAGACAAGAAAACAATACTACATGAAGCTTAAATTCTTCTTTAAAAAGAAACGATACACATTCAAACAGGCTGGTGGTGGGTATGTAGAACGACTAGAAGAGTGTTTTGTTTTGCTCATCCAAAGTGTCATTATAATTAGTAAAAAATGTTGAGAACAGTCGCATTAATAAACCTTAAAACTTTCGTGTAAACCATAAATGGATTGGTCAATGGCTACATCGTTGATGACTGGAAGCTCGAACAAACAGTTGTTCTTTTTGGAATTAAAAATCTCTAATATATCTGATAAAATCTGATCATCTCTAATATATCTGATAAAATCTGATCATGATTGTAACCAAGACTATAGTATGATTTGTCAAAAAAAAACTTATGGGGCAAGACTATAGTATTAATAATCCTTTCTCTATCTATACTATTAAAATAGAAGTTAATACTTTTTCTTTAATATCTTTATTTAACTGGAAATACAAATACTTTTAAGAAAATTATAACAAAATCTTCTGAAAATCTTTTAGAATCTTTTTTAAATAGATTTCTGAAAATATTTTAGAATCTTTTTTAAATAGATTTCTGAAAATTGGTTAATTTAAATGATCATAAGTATACTTCAAATTAAATTTAATTAGTTTTCATCTTTTAGAATCTTTTAAATAGATTTTCAAAAATAAATTTTGACGTTTTAACAATATCTCAAAAAATTCTTATATATCATGTAAGTCCAATTTAATTTAACTTTTTATATATATATTTCACATATAATAATAAAAATATGTAAAATAGTATTTATTATATAATAATGTTTTCTAAATGAATGTTTTACATAATACAATTTATAAAATTCTATAATAATATTATTATTAGCCACACAAACATTATTATAAATTAGATAATATAGAGCATTAAATTTTATTTAATTATAAATAAAGTTAATTAATTAAACTTAAAACATTGTAATATAAAAATAAAATTCTCACGGTCATACGGATCAAGATCTAGTTCTTTTTGAGGAGGTCATACGGATCAAGATCTAGTTTTTTAATCCTCAGTCTAGAACTCATGCTTCATAAAAAAACTTAAACCAAGTTTGATCTTATACTTATAATATTGAGAGGAGACGTACCTCTTAATTGATAAAAAATGTAACGTGATAACAAATTGACATGATATACTTAGAAAAAGAACAATATATGATGGTATAAACCTGAAGAAAATAAATTAGAACTCATTTTTAAACACGTGAATGCACATCTCAATTTCTTTGTAAACGTGAAAACCACACACACACACACACACATATATATATACGAGTGCAATATCACGAGTATATATTATATACGACTATAGTGTTAGTGTATTTTGACTATTTTGTGTAACCTATTCTTGTATATTTATCGATTTTTTAAACCAGTCACATGTTTTTTTCTTATCATTTTAACAATATCGAAATCTCATCTGATTTATTATGTTAATCTAATATGATTAGTATATTAATATTTAAATAAACCCAAAATTTTGTCTCACAATGAAGATATTAGTTTTCTTCTTGGGTAAAAAGAAAAAGTGTAAGAATAAGAATTTAAGTCGATAAATGTCACAAATCAATGATAAAATACCAAAAGAGAACTTTTGGAATATTGCTTAATTCGCAACTTCATTTCTTAATTGAATGACTAAAATGCTCCAACATAATTACAATTATCCACAAACTACAAAACTACACTTTCACTCTTCTATCGATCTCAACTCCAACGCATTATATCTCCTCCTCCGGCCACTACTAGTGCTACCACTACCACTACCACCACCACCACCGTCACCATCTCTTTCTTTCCTTCTAACACATCCCGATCCCACCGTATCATCACTAGACCCAAATCTCATCCGAGACTTACCAGAGACAATAGGATCTATACGTTTCCCACCTGCGAGCGCAGCGCTAGCTTTAACAGCCAATGCAGCCATCTCATCCGCTCCAAGTGGCTCACGAAGCCAACGGAGAGGAAGCACGAGCTGATAGCTGAAACGGAGTCGTCAAAGTCCATATCGTCAGAGTTACATATAAAACACATGGGATACTTCTGCAAAACGTATCCTACTTTCACGTGGCTCGTGAACTCTATCATCCTCCCGTCTTGCAAGATCAGCTTCGCCGTGGCCTCTTGTGTCGACTCGCTCGAACAGCATAGACCCATCTCCCTGAGTTGACTTGTTAGTCGTGACTCGTTCTTAGGTGAAAGAAGGGTTAAGAGAGTGATATTATTGTGGAAGAGAATGGGAAGACTTGTGTAATAAATAGACAAGAAGAGTTTTGAGTTTGTGTTTGAAAAACTAGATGGCACGTAGGACTTTGTCGTTTTGTAAACCAATAGGAGAGTGATGACAGGTTGTATAAGTGGTGGGGGAGGGTGCCAGCTTTGTGTGTGTTTAGATAGTTTTAAGTTTAACCAACCCTTCATTATTTATAGGTTCATATATATAGTGCTTAGTTTTAGAATATTGCTAACAACATAAAATGTATACTTTCATAATTTAAACCTAATACAAGTGAAAATATATTGTAATAATGTAAATATGTTATATTACTATTGATTTGTTCTTTTTTTCTTTTTTCTTTTGATCAAATTATTGATTTGTTCTTCAAGTGTTCCATTAGCTTCAAAATTTTAGTCGACAAGAGTAAGTGCATCAACAAACCGAAAGGGTGGGATTCATAAGTAATATTTTCGATTTTTTTTTTCGTTTGACTTAAAAAAAAGGTGGACTAATTGTAGGCCGTTATGTGGGGTGAGGCCCGTGAAACAGTGTTGATCCGGATTCACCCCAATGACACTGCACAACACGGTTTCACCAAATTTATTTTATTATTATTTTTATTTTATTTCCGTGTGAACTCTCCCCACAAACTCTCAATAGGGATGTTCTAAGACACACATCTGGTCCATTATATCCCCAATAGTTACTGTGTTAAGGACTGAGCTTAATTATCATGAGTGTATTATGAATGAATATGAACACACTTGCTTTAACTAAATGATATAATGCTCGTGGGGTAGCATGGTGGGTTTAGGAATTTAACAACTTGGAAGATCTAAATGATATAAAACAACTTCAAATCACAATAGGGTCCATTATAATTGATGCCCTTTATGGCTAGGTTACAAATATTAATCTATATTGCCTCCCACTTTTTTTTGTAGTATATGAATAATTATGAACTTTCTTGTCACTTTTAATTCTGTGATTTTGATTGGCCAAGAAGCTGTCGGATCCTTCAATGTAATTTAATTTCACTAGATATGTAACATGTACCTTTTCAGTTGTGTTTATACTTTATTCATTTATAGTACTATATAGATTTCGAAGTTAGTTTATAATATCACTAATTCATTTATGATTCTACTGGTGATCTATTTATAAACAATAGTAGTTGGTGATACGTATTGAAATAAATAGTTAAGGTTATTTAATCTTCTTTCTTGAACTTGAAAATGAGTAGTTGACATTGTTTTCATCATTTCTTTCTTTTTCGTTTACCTTTCAAACTAGTGAATATATACGAATGAATATAAACACACATGTTTAGTGAATAAATTGAGTGTATTGTGTTGCAGATGGATTATCAATTTACAAAATTGATAGTATAATGCTTAGCGCGGTGGGTTTACAAATAAAATAGCTTGAAAGATCTAAGATCCCATGAGTAGATTTTAAAACAACTTCAAATCAGAATAGGGTCCATTGTAATTGCTGCCCTTTATGAGTAGGTTACGAATTTAAATCTATAATGGTTTCCATTTTTGTAGTAGATGAATAATTATGAACTTTCCTGTCACTTTTCAATCTATGATTTTGACTGGCCAAGAAGATGTCAGATCCTTCATTTGTAGCATGCGTTTTTTAAAGTAATGTGTTTATACTTTGGAACCGAAGAGTAATATGCGGGATAAGGATGCAATTCAAATTAACAAAACGTATAGATATATAGATATATGTAGATAATTTTGTTACTATTTGCGATGGTGCGGTGCAAGGCGGTCGATCACCATTTAGAATCTTTATTCAGTTTTATATACATTTGAAGTTATTTTATCTCATTAATCTCTTTTTCAATTTGATGTTGCTTAATCTTTCAGAGATGACAAGTTATGTAGTCAGAGCCTGCTGAGAGGGAGGGTCAAACGGTGCGACCGCCTCAGACTCAAATCTGTGTCCTCCCGTATTTTATCAATTAAAGGGTCTAATATTTTTATATTTACATATTTTTATATAAAATTTTTAAAATATTTATTAAATTTAGTTGAAAAGTGGCCCAAAAATATTTTATATGTATATAATGTATTTTCATCCCAAATTTTATAAAAAGGATTGTTAAAAAAGGTAATTTTTTAAAAAAAAATTTTTAATAAAAATAAACATTAAGAATTTAATTTTTTTTCCCGAGATCCAAAAAAATGTTGAGCCGGCCCTGACTGTAGTAACTTGTCATTGATAATCTACAGTTGTTAAATAATAACAAAGGTTTTGTCCAAAGAAATAAAACAAAATAGAATTAATAAGAGAAACAATGAATCCAATAGCTAAAAAGCCAAAAAATAATAAAACTTTCAATCATCAGAGAATGGTCTCACATAGTGTTAATCAAAACTGCCTTAATTTAAATTATAAAGATTTTATTTTATATTTGGATGTCTTTAATTGATTAGATTTTATGGTTTATTATTTACATAATGGAATTAGTATAAGAATTAAGAATTTGGAGAAACATTGTTATTTTGTTATTTTATTATTTAATAAGTGATAATTTAGAGATTTTTTTCTTTGTGTGTTATTATTGCCATATTTGTTTCTGCTATGCAGGGATTTTCCCATGAAATTTATATGATAATTTTTTCATATTAAAAAAAATTCATATAAAGGAAAATAAAGAATGGAGCTAACAAGCAGCAAAAGATGTTGCACAGTTGTTTTAAAAGTGGATTATGAACGGCTCATATTATTCATGAGGGGTTTATAATGGCTTACTCTAATTGTTTGATACTTATGCTTGTTTCAAATCAAGTAAACAAACCTTTTGTTTAACCAGAATAGTTAACATCTAATAATCAGACTAAACAAATAGATTCTCTACATGAATCCATGTTTTACTACTCAAGCTTAGCATACCAGATACCTTGAATCTTAACATCCTTAGGAGTCTTAGCACCCAAATCAGTATCCGAAGGCTGAATACTCTCGAAAACACCGATCATTTCACCGCTCTCAGGCTTACTCTTTGTTACACTGAATGTTATCTCACCAACAGAAGCAGCTGTGTTCTTATTATTCTCCTTATCCAACTCTTCATCGTCTCCTCTAGCTGGTAACGCAACTGCATTGTCATAACCCGTAGAGCCGCCACGTCCTTTTGGGTCCAAGAAAGACGAGCCTCTATAAGATGGCACCAAGAAATCTCCCCCAAATCTCTCTGGTTTACCTGATGCCACGAGCTGCTTGATTGTGAACAAGAACGGTACACGCTCACCACCTGGAAGTTGTATTGTCACTGCAGCGTAATCGATACCGTCTTTCTCAAGAAACCTCACCGTTCCATCAGTTGCTACCTATTGAATCAGTACAAGTTAGTTAAGAAAACAAATTTATAAAAATTATAAAATAACATTTCAACCCAAAAAAAAAACAAATTTATAGAAAAACAGTGTTATTTAATATTCAATTTTGATGTGCCTAAGCATTCATCTAGTCAACAAATCAGAACTAAACGAAACAATATTTTTGAACATTTTTTTTAGAATGGTCGAAACGTTCCAAAAGTTGGTCTATGCACTCGCCTAATCAATAATTCCATTAAAAAAGTACCTAACTATTACCAAACGATTTTTTGAACATTGATAAAAAGAGAAGGATCGTATTTACTTCTCAATTGGTTAGGTGTCCGCCTAGTTGGCAAAATCGAGATTAAACTAACGATTTCTCTTGAACATTTTTAAAAATCAGTATAAACGTTCAAAAAATGGGTACACACGCTCAACTAATCAATAATTTCATATAAAACGCTTAATTACCGCCTAACGATTTCTTGAACATTGATAAAAAGAGTTCCGCAAGGATCATATTTACCTCAAAAGGGCCTTCGATTTCGTCGAGTGTGTAGGTAAGACGGGTCATGAGCTTAGTGTTTTGAAAAACCGGCGTGGCGTTCTTGCTAACACCTTCTGCTTTGACAGTGAATGAAGTTGGCTCCAAGCAGAATTTCTTGGCGTAGTATTTGCCTGGCTTAATAGCAAAAGACTCCAAGCCACCTTCAATGGTTGGACACTGGTTCGCTGTTCCAGTTCCTTTCACTTCCATGTAAGTCTTGCTCTGTATCTCCTCGTATGTTAGCCTCTTTGGCACTCCTTCTGCACTTGCACCCTTATTCATACAAATATAATAAACAAGATCTTAAACCTTTACTCTAGTAATGAGTCTTTAGCCTCAAAGATAGAGATTGATGAAAGAACCGTACTGAGATGACAAGAGCAGAGGTGGCTAGTGCAAAGCTAGCGATCTTGGTAGCTTCTACGCAGTTCAGAGTCAAGTTCTTAAGATCGTTGTGGAGAGAGCAGGAGACACGGCTCTTCACTGGCTTGAAGGATTTAGAGCCGCTTTGAGAAGGAGGATGGAGTTTTGCGGCTGTGAGAGACTGTAGAGCCACGGTGGTTACGGAGGCCATTGTCAGCCGCAGAGTTCCTTGTCTGATCTGATCAGACAAAAGGCTCTCTGATGTGTCTTTCTAGTTTATCAAGTTCTGTCTTATGTTACGTGTCTGATGATTGTTGGTCACCAGAAGATTCCGCATCTTGAAAACGTCATGTATTACACTTCTTTATACAAAGAACGGCAAGTAGTTCATTGCAAGGAAAAGATATATATATATATATATGGTGAAACTTCTATAAATTAATAACGTTCAAATTATACTAAAACTATAATTTTATTAATTTATATAAATTATATATATGGTGAAACTTCTATAAATTAATAACGTTCAAATTATACTAAAACTATAATTTTATTAATTTATATAAATTATTAATTTATCGATATACTAATTAAAATAAAAATTCAATTTAAACTATAAAATTATATATTTTATAGAGATTTTTAGTTTATATTAATTTAAAAAAGTTATACTGTATCCGAGTACCTTAAAATGTTTTGAAAAGATTCTGAGAGGAGTGAGCAAACTCAACAAAAACGAAGACAAACCAAACTAGTTTCAATTGATTTTCAATTTTCATCAAAGTTTTTATAGAATCCAAAAACCCAAACTGAACCTGAATTATAAACCAAAATGACCAACCCCTATCAGAGATGACACAACAGTATAATACAACAGTTTTGTTTTAAGACATAACTTAAAAGACTCTAATCTGAATCTTCAGATTCTGAAAAATGATGAGGACTAAGCTCAGACACCATTTTTGACATATTCTCTCTCATCTCCTGTAACTCTTCTCTCCCAAATCCCCATTCCCTCACCACATCTGATCCCACAGCTCCCCATTGTATCCCAAGCTTCTCTAAATTCCCCATCCTACTCTCCAAGAACGGCAAAACCGCGCTCGAAGATCTCCACCTTGTAGCTACTGGTACAGAGTGAACATCCAATGAGCCTCTGTAAACAGAATCCGAGACCACTGGACTGCTTAGAATCTCACCTTTTCTCCCAACAAGGTTTCCAAATATAGAAGGAAACGGTAATGGCACAGGGAGAGGACAACGTGAGACAGATAAGTTACAAAACAAAGGTTTGGTGTTATCCCTCTGTTCATAACATGCATCAACAGCATTCCTCACTTCTGAAACTAATGCTTCTTTGTCTTCTGAGCTCAAAGCTCCAAGTACACACATTGACTCAGCTGATAGATTGTCTTCCACATCTTCAGTTACTTCCGGAGTTAGCGTTAGCAGATCAGTTAAAAGAGTCTTCTCCAACTCCTTCCCTATTGGCATTGCGGAATCAAGAATCGCCACTATGTTTTGCCTTCCACGGCTAGTTAGAAGCTGCACAAGTGTGTTGACATCCATAGCGTTAGACACTTCACTTGAATCTAAACTTGTGTTTTGCATTCTGAAAGGGAGTGTGCTTGAATGCAAAGCAGCTGCGTACACTGCACTGCTTCTATAAGGCTTCTCATCTCCGAGGTTAAGATACTTACTTCCACTCAAGGAAGGTAAACCCATTGGAGTAAAGAGTTTACAAAAGGAAGAGAGTCTTGAAAACGATATAGCATCATGAAGCTTGCTTGAAACTGTCTTCTTCTGTGACACTGGACTCCTCAGGGAGTAAAGCAATACAGGAATGTTTGTGTATTCATCAGCCATTGTCTCTAGAAAATCACCTGCTAGAGCAGAGAAGCCTCCTGAATCATCCACAAGGAAGTTAACACCCTGAATATGATCACACTCTTCAACGAAGAACCTGAGTCTGTCGGTTATTTCATCTCCACGTGAGGCTTCTGAGAACACGTCTTTACCGATCCCGTAGTTGTTGAAGTCCTGAGAGTCCATCCATAATCCGTTTAGCTCGTATAGAGATTGAGGATGGTAATGGGATTTGGAGAAGTCTGTCCAACATTCAACAGTTTCATCTAAGCATCCAACAATATCTTTGTCCTCAATCTCTGCTTCCTCGTATAAGTTTTGTTGAAACAAGTTCTTGTTTCGAGGCTTAGATCTCTGAGTATCAACCTCTCCAGACCTATACAAGGCACACAGTGGATATATATTCAACTAATCATGTTCAGGAAATATCTATTAAAGCAAGGAGAATGTAGCATTTTCTGACCAGGTTTTGGAAGAGTCTGATCTTGACGATGAACCTTCAGTGTAGAGTGTACCACGTGAGCTCATGGAGCCTAGTGACCCTGAAAGGTGACAAAGTTTTAGATGGTAAATACTCTCTCCGTTTCATTTTAGGTTTTTAGACACAGATTAATAAAACATTTAATTTTATATATTTTCAAAATACAAACACAATTAACTCTACGCCTAACCACTTTTCAAACACTTTCAACCAAGAGAAAAATAAAAAAGTAGATAAAACTAATAAATTCTGCATTGAAGTTATAAAATAACACTCATTTTGAAATGGAATTTTTTCTCAAAAAAACCAAATAACTGAAACGGAAGGAGTACTGAATAGCTTTGACCAAAAAAAAAACTAAATAGCTAAGCAACTTCAACAAAAGACTCTATGATCAATGTTCAATAACAGTAAAAGACCAAACAAATTAAACTTCTTCAACTTAATTTTTAAGAGCTAAGAAACTTCAGTTAGTACCTTTGAAGTTGATTGAAAGCAGACGAGGAGTGTATGTAGAAACTCCCTGCAAACAAACAACACAACATAATTAAACGTTTGTTATATATTTTTGAGATTTTTAGACCAAAGTCAAAAGACATCTCTCAATCTAAACCTGTTGGGTTTCACCGGAGCGGTAAAGGACGTCCATGTCGAGATTATTATTTCGAAAAATTGGATCGCTTTCTGGGTCACTCGCCAATCCGAGGAGTTCATCCTACACACAAAGTCTTCAACTTTAGCAAAACCCAACAATCAAAAAAGCATAAAGGACAAGACTTTATGTAATGAAACTCAAAGAGAAACAAAACCCAGAATCCAATTTAAACTGAGAGAGATTGTTTGGTCCTAACCTGGAAGTTCCAGAAATGAGAACCGACAAAGTTCGCGAAGTCTCCAACTTGAATCGTGACGATCTCTCTCATGGCTTCTCTACCTAACAGTTTCTAGGTCACGGAATAAAGAGCTCTGGTGATTTTGCTTAAGACAGTATGTAGAATGAAGACAAAAGAAGTGAGAATTGAGGAAGGTGAAGATGTGGGCCTTTCGGCCCATATCCAAATATTTGAATGAATAAATAATCATGTGGATAAACCGGTTCAGATTTATAAGCTTGCAATGCATCGACCGGGTCAGATTTTTAATTTGATTTGGTCCAGTTTCTATTATACTCCCTCCTACTCACAAATATGTATATTTCCCAAAAAAATATTCTTTTTCATTTTTTGTTTTGTATTTTTAATGTATTTTCTATCAGTTGATGAAAATTAATTGTAAACATTAAAAACAGTAATTGCATTTGCTGAACTCTTATTGGGTTAGAAAGTATGGAAGATCATCACAAACAATGATTATACATTTAGTATTGAAATTTATATATTTTATTAATATGTGTGAAAAATCGAGAACATTCACAATTTTATTGTTTTGAATTTGAGGGGATATCAAACTGGTTATTTGAAGATTTATATTAGTAAATCGAAGATATCTTACAAAACAAGGTTGTGATTTTCTTCATCCTCTGTTTTCAAAGGTAATTAAGTAACATGCTACTTTTATTTATGTGTCTGATACAAATTCAGAAAACAAAATCTTTCAATTATCAATTTCCCTGTTTTATGAAGTAAAAAAAAAAGAACACAAACCTGAGGATTTTGATCTCTTTCTCTCTATATATTTTCTATTGTTTGCACAAAATCTTCTGTTTATGTCCCCTCTCATGTTTACATCTACAAAAACTCCCAAACAAATTTGAAGTTTTGAGCATAAAATAACATAATAAGTTGGTAACTTTATCATTCATCCTATGCATAAAATAACATAATTTTTCCTTTCTTTTTCTCATTTTCCGACATAACCATTCATTTCAGACAGTTTCGAGTTGTTGTCTTTGATTTTGGAGACTTCATTGAGAAATTAAGATAAGTGTTTTGCTAAAGAGTACATAGACAGGTTCAAATCAAGACCCATAATACAATTTGTATCATTTTGCATCATCGAGAAATGACATGAGTAAGAAAAATATGAAAATGAGATAAGAGAAACGAGATTAGAGAAGGAGAAGAAGAACACAGTGAATCATAGCAGCTATAAATAAGTGGAGATTTGATAATGTTTTGTGTAAATTAATATATCTTTAAATGGAACACAGAATCTTTTTGTGATAGGACCGTACACCGCGAATCGTTACACTCACTTCTATGTTTATTCTCTTTTGAAAATATATTTTTGATTTCTTTCCTTTTGTGTTTCCCTATACATAAATACACAAATTCTAATGGTAAACTTGTTATTATTTGTGTACTAATGATTTTGAATTCCAGATTCTCAGATTCTCCTATCTTGTGTTTAATTTTTTTTAAATTTGAAAAAATCGATTGTGAAATAATGAGTCTACACTATTTATACACTTTTGAATATATGTTTTATGGTTAAGTTATTTGTTTGGCATTCTATTAGGATCAATTTTCTCAAATCATATTATATTCTACTGTAACAACATGTTCATAATTTGCAAATAACTATAGGCTTTATGACTAGTATCAACACTACCCGTAATCATGCTTTTTAGTAATCATGTATATTGGAAAAGATAAAACTCTAAAAGTTAGAAAAGTACGAAATGACATTTGATTATTTTGCTATTAGTAAAACATCTAGAAAACTAAGATATTTTATTATTTTTCCTTAATTTTATAAAATTATAGCATATATACTTTTTTGGAGTTCTAGATAAATACAAACTTATGAAAAAAAGAAGAACTCATCAGATAAGACTGAACTTTTCACTCTTTCGACGATGTAATATAAGATGCAGACTTTGGGCATTCAAATGGCTTATGTTCTGGAATGTCAATCCAAACAAAATTAACTATTCATCAATTGTGCTTGTTACCAAAGTATGTGTTCATATTTTTAGTTAGTCGGTATTTATCGGAAAAAAAGCCATATAGATATTTTTAAAACTCGAATACTAGCATATTAACAATGAGCATATATGATATTTTGCATAAATCATAATCCAAGGTTGAAGATCCCACCACACAAAGCAACTTTCTTTATTTGACAATTTTTCTTGCTAACCATACACAAATATCAACCAATTTTTATATCATTTAATTTTTCAAAACAATAGTATTTGATTCCTCAAACCAAAAATATATCCCCGAACATCGTAGCATGCAGTATGTCTAATTCCATATACGCAATAAAGACTATAACGAATCTAACAGAAAAAAGGAAACATCTACTATAAGCCATTTGTAAATTGTAACATGACATATGTCCAACTAATCTAGACTTTTCAAGCGAATCTGTTTTCTTTGAAAGATGTACTGAAATGTCTTGAGTTGTAATAAGGATGTGATATTGATACCATTTATTGGTTAGATTCTCTCTTGTGGGTGTAGGTTCACGACATATGTGTCTCTAACCTTTTTGTTCTTTTTTTTTTTCACTACACTCCTTTCTAAAAAATATTTTCTTACAAAGTTGTATCAAACCATAGCTTTTGCAGTACTGTATATTCAATTGGATGATAAGGTTCGCCGTTTCTATCTGAGCGAATCCAATGACATCTTTGGTGAAACCTGATGATTTGAATAAGCCAATCTCGAAAAATGCGAACTTATAACATTGTCACATCGATCATTGAATATGTACAAGGAATAATTGGATGATATGTTAATTTTGTAAACAAAAAATACTTTAGGTTAGTGATCAAAGTCTCCTTATAGACAATACATTTTCCATAACACATCAAACCTCATTATTCACACCATATAAATTAAAATCAAACAAACATCAAAGAAAGTTCATAATCTTTTTATAAATAACTGGAAGCTTGGACTAAACTCCATGTTGATCTTTAGACTTTGAAAGCTTAGCTATTTAATAGTCATCTAAAGGGTCGACACATATTACCCACCACTAATGAATTTGTCAAAGTGTCTGTAATAGTTTGTGATGTGTTATTCATTCAATCAACTTCGGTATTTATACATCATTAGAGATAGACTCTTCTCCTACATATCAGGAGATAAACATAAACCATTACAAGTCTGTCCTTATCACGTTAATATCCTAGCTTATCGCTAATACTCCCCCTCAAGGTGGTGCGAAGAGATTTCGAACGCCCAGCTTGCCAAGTAGATAGTGGAACTGTTGACTACCCAAAGGTTTTGTTAAAATGTCTGCAAGTTGATCTGTTGTTCTAACATGTCGCGTGACTATTGATCCATCTTGTACAGCATCGCGAATAAAATGGCAGTCGACTTCGATGTGTTTGGTTCGTTCGTGAAATACGGGGTTTGCTGCAATGTGAAGAGCGGCTTGGTTGTCACAGAACAACGAGATAGGTGTCTTCTGTCGAATACCCAGACTGCGCATGAGCTCGATTATCCATTTGAGTTCGCAAAGAGTTAAGGCCATAGACCTATATTCGGCTTCAGCAGATGAACGCGAAACCACTTGTTGTTTCTTGGTTTTCCAAGACACGAGTGACCCTCCCAACATGATGACATAGCCTGTGAGTGACCTTCTAGTGAGAGGACATGCGGCCCAATCTGAGTCGCAGAAAGCAGAGAGAGTGAGGTCATTGTGTGCACTTAAGAAAATGCCTTGGCCTGGATCATTTTTCAGATAGCGGACGACTCGAAGAGCTGCATGCCAATGTATGAGACGTGGCTTCTGAAGAAACTGAGCTAACGTGTGTACAGCGTAGCTGAGATCGGGTTTTGTGACTGTTAAATAAACCAGACGTCCAACTAGTCGTCTGTACTTGGTTGGTTCTGAGAAGAATTCACCTTTGTCGCGGGCTAGTGTTTGGTTTTGTTCCATCGGTGTGTCGAAAGGTTTTGTTCCCAGGAGGCCGCATTCAGAGATGATGTCGAGTGCGTACTTCTGTTGTGACAAGTATATACCATCTTTGTTCCTGGAGACTTCAATGCTTAGAAAGTACTTCAAGATACCTAAGTCCTTCATATGAAACTTGCGGTTGAGATATGACTTGAAACGTGAGATGAGGTTTGAGTCACTGCCTCCAATGATCAAATCATCAACGTAGACCAACACGTAGATGATTGAGGAGCCCTTCTGGAGTGTAAACAGAGAATAGTCAGAGTAATTTTGCTTGAAACCAAAATCTTTCAAAGCTGTTGACAATTTCGCAAACCAACAACGTGGTGCTTGGCGTAGACCGTAGAGAGATTTTCTGAGCCTGCAGACTTTGTTTGGAGAAGATGCTGAAAAACCCGGTGGAAGTTTCATGTAAACTTCATCATCTAGATCGCCGTGAAGGAACGCGTTGTGTACGTCCATTTGGAACAACTCCCAGCCTTTTGCTGCTGAGATTTCCAGAAGAATACGGACAGTAGTCATCTTGACTACGGGAGCAAAAGTTTCTTTGTAGTCGACACCCTCTTCTTGTCGATTTCCCAGTACCACTAAGCGAGCTTTGAACCGTTCGATGGTACCGTCTGCTCGACATTTGATCCGGAACACCCATTTACATCCAATCGCTACTTTTCCTGGTGGCAAATCCGTGACATCCCATGTATGATTTTTGTCGAGAGCATCAGCCTCAACAATGACAGCATTATTCCATCGTGGATCTTTAATAGCTTCATTGTAGCTGATTGGTTCGTGTTCAGAAGCCACTTTTGCTAGATAAGCCTGATGAGCAGGAGACAAACGATGAAAAGATGTATAGTTAGTTAGTGGATAAAGGTTCTTACTAGAGGACGATGATGGTGAGTTGGTAGGTGAGAGAGCGTGATTGGGGTCTTGAACTTGTGCTGTGTAGGTGACGTACGGCTTAAGTAAGACTGATTTCTGTTTCTGTCTTCTTCCACGACCAAGTTCTGTTTCTGTAGTCTGAGGATTAGGTTCTGTGTTGGGTGTATGGACTTCTGAAGGATCAGGAGGCGTTACTCCCCCTGAGGATGATTCGGTCAGCGGCACTTGTTCTTGTTCGTGTTCTTGTGCTGGATCTTCGTCAAAGATTGCAGGATGATGAGAGACTTGAGCTTGTGGAACTATATGTTCAATGTTTTGAGATCGGGAGGAAGGCTCAGTAAAGGGAAATTTGTCTTCATGAAAGATGACGTCTCTGGAGATAAACTTCTTCTCTGTTTGAAGGTCAAATACGAGCCATCCTTTTTGATTCATAGGATAACCAAGGAAGACACACCTGCTGCTCCGTTCGTCAAACTTATTCCTGTTTCGAGTGATCTTCCGAGCAAAACAAAGTGTACCAAAGGTTCGCAGATTGTCATACGTGGGAGCTTTTCCATGAAGTAGTTCGTATGGAGTCTTAAGGTTCAGAAGTTTGTTCGGTGTTCTGTTGATTAGGTATGATGCCGTTAAAACGCTTTCACCCCAAAAGCGAATTGGAAGGTTTGCTTGGAATAGCAACGCACGAGCCATGTTAAGGATGTGTCTGTGTTTTCGCTCCACGCGGCCATTCTGCTGTGGTGTTTCGACACAAGATGTTTGATGTATCACACCTTGTTCAGAGAAAAATTGGCGAAGACACAAGAACTCGGATCCATTGTCACTTCTGACAATTTTTATTTGCTTCCCAAACTGTCGCTGGACATAAGCAAAGAATGTTTTAATAGCCATTGGTGCTTCTTTCTTTTCGAGTAATAAGATTGTCCAAACTGCTCTAGAATGATCATCTACTATGGTCAGGAAGTATCGTGCACCACTCAATGAAGGTGTTTTGTAAGGCCCCCAAAGATCGCAATGTATGAGAGAAAAAATATCATCAGCTTTATTAAAACTCTGGGAAAAAACACCACGGGTTTGTTTAGCCCGAACACAAATGTCACAAGACTTTTCAAAAGCTCCTACTGTATGAGAAAAACATCCGATATCTGAAAGACTAGAAAGCACAGCTGATGATGGATGACCGAGACGGCGATGCCAAATGTCACGTGTGTGGAGTCGTCCAGCAAGACCTGCGATCACGCCAGTGTAGTGGTAGACCCCATCACGCTCTTCACCCGCACCAATCAAAGTCCTCGAAGTTAGATCCTGTATCACACAAAACTTTTTGGTAAAGAGCACAAAACATGCAATATCTCGTAACAGTTGAGCAACTGATATAAGGGTAATAGAGAGATTGGGCGCATAGAACACGTCTGTGAGAACAAGACGTTGTCCTAGGTGTAAGTTTCCATGTTTAGTTGCCCAAGTGATGTTGCCGTTTGGTAATGAAATCGGACAAGCTTGTATGGTTGAGATGTTGGTGAGTAGGTTGACGTCTCCAGTCATGTGATGAGACGCACCAGAGTCGATGATGATATCATATTTGCTGTCAGTACCATACAAGTACAACTTATTTCTTTTACCTGAAGATTTGTCGGTTTGATTCAACTTTTGACTACTCAGGAAGTTTGCGAGAGAGCTCCATTGATCAGCAGTGAAGTTTGGAATGCCTGCTGTTTGTTGGTGTGGTTCTGACTCACGAGTTGCTGTGTTGTTTGCCCGAAAGCCTGAGCCACGACCACCACGTCCGCGTCCCCGTATAAATTTATCTGAACCTCTTCCTCCAGTTGATTTGCTTTTGTCAGTCCACCATTCCGGAAAACCAACCAGTTGAAAACAATTTGATGCGTCATGTCCTGTTCTCCCACAATGTGTACACGCTGTTGAGGGTCGTGTATACCTTGTTGCTGACGCTTGCTCGATGGAACGAGAATTTGCTGATGGTGTTGAGGAGTTTGCTGTCGTTGTTGCAGAAAGGCCTACTGCTGGGGTTCGCTCTTCATTAAGTCTCATGGAGTTTAAGTGTCGTTCCTCCTGGATTATCTGAGAATACACCGTGTCCAGAGTCATCTCTGTTTGTCTACTGAGGATATTTGATCGAACTGTCCCGAATCGAGAGTTATCCAATCCCATAAGAAATTGGTGAACTCTTACTTTCTCTTGACTCCTCTCGTATTTGATCATGGAGTTGCATTCAGAGTTTGCACAGCAACATGTGAAACCTTTGTCTAGATCAGATAAATCGTCCCACATGACCTTGAGTCGTCCGTAGAAAATTTCAACGGTGTCACCGTCTTGTTTGCAGGTTGTTATGTCTGCAAGGAGTTGGTGAACACGAGTGTCATCGTTAACGGAGAATCGTCGTTGCAGGCTTGCCCACATGGCTTTGGCGCTGTCAGCAAGAGAGATAGAAGGTCGTAGTTTTGGCTCAATACTACTATAGATCCATCCAATAATCATAGAGTTGACCATGTCCCACTTTTCTGCATCTTCAGAGTTTTGGGACGGCCGTGTCAGAGTTCCGTCAATGAACCCTATTTTTCGTTTGGCACGAAGTGAGTTGGTCAGCAACTTCGCCCATCTTTCATAATTAGCACCGTTGAGGAGGATAGGTGTCTGGACTTGTCCAGTACTATCGGATGGGTGCAGATAATATGGCGAAACAAGCTTGTCTTTAGACGCAACTATGGCTTGTTCGCTGCTCATGATTCTTTATCGAGATCGAGCAAAGAAGAAGAAAAAAACGATATCAAAGATTAAGGGTTGGCTCTGATACCATGTCAAAGTGTCTGTAATAGTTTGTGATGTGTTATTCATTCAATCAACTTCGGTATTTATACATCATTAGAGATAGACTCTTCTCCTACATATCAGGAGATAAACATAAACCATTACAAGTCTATCCTTATCACGTTAATATCCTAGCTTATCGCTAATAGAATTAGGTGTATGAAAATCAGAACCTTATTCCTAGAAACCCTGATCATAGTAATGAATTATTAGTGTACTTAATCACCATGAACTAAATAGACGAGCTTATAAAACTCATAAACTTCAGAAGTTATACTTGATGGGATATCTTATAAATTAATCAATAATTTTCACATTGCAGTTTAATCACTTATACAATCTGAAGATATAGTTAGTAATCAATACATGCATCTACTTTAAAATATTCTGTCATTCTCTACAACTAAAAAGCTGAAAATTTTGGATGGTCATAGTTTAATATTGTAAAGATGAATGACCAATAAGATGTTGTTTTCTCACAAGAATAAGGAGAGAGAGAGAGAGTTGTGCTAATTTCATATAACAATAAGAAAAGTGAATAAATAAACGTGTTTTATAGTTCTAACATCAAATCCGTTATCGTCCAGCGGTTAGGATATCTGGCTTTCACCCAGGAGACCCGGGTTCGATTCCCGGTAACGGAGCTTTTTGTTTTATTTTTAAATAGATTTTATGTTTTTTTTGTTTTGTTAATAAGGTATCTTCAGCCATTATGTTACCATTTACTTTACAAATGTGGAATCACCTTCCGCCATTGATTTGTTCGTTTGGATCTTCTTGAAGATGAATCATTAGCGATTAAGGTATTTAAGAACTTGAGGTTTTTGTGTGGATTGTCACAGTGCTATTAAGTACATATCAGACATAAAGGAACATAACGTTGAGAGACTCTACTCGGTTTAATTGTTTTGAGAATGGACTATATATGTTCTTGTAGAGACTAAATATTGGTAACGAAAAAACTACTTATGATACATCCATTTGAGATTATACAATTGCAAACTAGTCAGCGTAATAGTACACAGTAATTATGTTTAAGATTAATGTTTTGTAGAAGCAATGTAAATACTATATACAATCAACATTAAAGAGATGAAGCAACAAACGCATGAAACTTCCTAATTCCAAAAAATAGGGCGTGTCTATTAATAACATTTGCTAGGCTCAAGACAACTTTCGTAAGAAGAGGAGTGAGCAAGCACACAAACACATGCATGTAGTACTAATTTAACTACAACTAGCGTATATATACATATTGTGTCGTATAAATAGATTATGATATAGAGATTCACATGGTACTAGCGAGCTTAGTGGTAACGAAATCCACATGAGTAGTTAATTAGAGTTTCTTCCTCTTCCCTATATGGCTATATGTGATCTCTTCTAGGGATGCATCAACATGTCTCATGGTTCCGAGTCATTAGCAATTGGTTTGACTCCACCTTCATTATATTTATTGTTTACAAAAAATAGTAATGCAAATTGGAATCACTCATTTCTTATGTTTTAAGTAGTCTGAGGATGTTGTTAAAAAAAAAAGAAACTAGTTTGGGGACTTAATCATGTGATCGTGATTCGTTGATTTTCTTAATTTTATATATAGCATCTATGTTCATACATCTAATCAAAAGTCAACCTATTTATTTTGAGCATTTGATGCTGGAGGGAACATAAAATTAATATAGATCAAGATCTACATTTGCATGCTGTTAATTTTTTTATTTGGTTTATATTAAAACTCCAAAAGTCAAATCTCAATACACACATTTTTTATTCTTGAACCGTCGGTTACGATATTTTCTTTGATATAATAATGGTATTAATTGTAAATGCTTTAAGATGCTATTCCCCGAAAATGTCATCTTATAAGCAGATTGATTTCACGTTAATTTTTGTTTTTCTAAAAGAAAAAAATGTGGTTGGTAATATCTCACTGATTCAATGTAAAGTGAATAAACAATTTTTTGAGCAAGGGGAAACAATCTAAAAATGAAAAATGTACTCTTGCCGACAACGAAAACTTGGGAATTTCAGTAAAATTTTAGCATACATTTCCAGTAGATTTGGCGTAAATTAAATGTTAAAGTTGTAAAGGCAAGCATTTTGCATGAAGTACGCCGCAAAAGAGCTTATGGGAGTGTGATGCATGGGGATTCACGTCGTCTTCGCTGACAAATACTTAAAAGAATACTAAAACTTAATTAGTCTCTGTAGCTTCGTACATGTATTTAAGACTGTCCTTAGGTCGAACCTCAAACATAGACTCGCAACACAAATCTTGAGGGAGATCAAGATTTGACTCTATTTTGTCTTTCAAAAATGAAACAAACCAATCTCCTGTTATGTAAACTATTCATAGGAACCTTGTTATTTTGGTTGGGCTCTGTTTTGGTTAAGGCAGAAGACCCTTACTTGTTCTACACTTGGACTGTTACTTATGGAACAAGATCTCCTTTGGGTGTTCCTCAACAGGTATGTACTCTCTCATCTTATTACTTATATTTATTGTCTTTATGAGAAATCAACATTAATTGATGTATTTTTTGGTACGTTGTATGTAGGTCATTCTTATCAATGGACAGTTCCCTGGTCCAGCGATTGAAGCTGTCACAAACAACAACATTGTTGTCAATCTCATCAACAAGCTCGACGAACCTTTCCTCATCACTTGGTATATATATACCATAAAACTCATTGCTGGATTTATTTTGTATTTAGTGTATATACTTAAAAATAGCTTGTGATTATGTGTAGGAATGGAGTGAAACAGAGAAGGACATCGTGGCAAGATGGAGTATTGGGAACAAACTGTCCTATCCCACCAAACTCGAACTGGACTTATCAGTTTCAACTTAAAGATCAAATCGGCACTTTCACTTACTTCGCTTCCACGTCGATGCACCGAGCTAGTGGTGCTTTTGGTGCTCTCAACATTAACCAGAGATCCGTTATTACCACTCCTTATCTCACACCTGATGGTGACTTCACCCTCCTCGTCAGTGACTGGTTCAAATTGAGCCACAAGGTACATATACCAACACAAGATTTTGAATAAGTAAACCCGAGTTACACGTTTTTTTTCACACATTGTATAAGCCTAATGCTTATTATTTACTCTTGTTTTTGGTTACTAGGATTTGAGAAAGCGACTTGACGCAGGCTATGCTCTTCCAGTTGCTGATGCTCTTCTCATCAATGGTGCTTCTAAGGGATTAGTATTTACCGGTCAACAAGGTAATGTCATCACATAACCTATCAAGAACCCTTTGTTCTTTAATTACATCACATGGTCTAAAGTAGTCTAGTGTTATTATTGATGTTTTATTTTTGGACTATCCTCAGGCAAAACATACAAGTTTAGGGTATCGAATGTCGGGATCGCAACATCGATAAACTTTAGGATTCAAAATCATACAATGACCCTCATTGAAGTAGAAGGCGCTCACACTCTTCAGGAGAGCTATGAGTCACTTGACGTCCACGTTGGTCAGTCAGTGACCGTCCTGGTTACCTTAAAAGCTTCAGTGAAAGACTATTACATCGTAGCCTCGAGCCGGTTCACTAAACCGATACTAAACACAACAGCGAGTCTACGTTACCTAGGCTCCAAAAATGCAGCCTATGGCCCCCTTCCCGTTGGTCCCACTTACCATATCCACTGGTCCATGAAACAAGCAAGAACCATCAGGTATATAGTAATAGCAAACCAAACTGAACCATACAATTTTAGACCGGTTTTGCTTAATTTGATTTAATATGGTGAATTTTAGGGTGAATTTGACGGCAAATGCTGCAAGGCCAAACCCACAAGGATCATTTCACTATGGTACCATACCGATAAACCGAACTTTGGTTCTAGCCAATGCAGCTACGATGATTTACGGGAAGCTTCGGTACACTGTAAACCGAATATCACACATCAACCCACCAACACCTTTGAAACTCGCCGATTGGTATAACATTTCGGGCGTGTTCGATTTCAAGACTATCCTTAGCCGTCCTTCAATCGGACCAGCTCATTTTGGTGCATCGGTTTTCAACGTTGAGCTCCACGAGTTTGTTGAAATCGTTTTCCAAAATGATGAGAGATCAATTCAGTCTTGGCACATGGATGGTACTAGCGCCTTTCTTGTCGGGTAAGAGCACCCACATTGATGAACCCCCTCTTGGGGGTTCACAGCAATAAAAAAATTATTTTTTTTTTATTTTCGTTTACTTTTAAAAAAAAAAAAATCAATTTTGGATCAATTATATGTTGACACGTGGTGAACCCGGGGTCATCGGGTTCACCGCGGTGAACTTTTGAGAGAGAGGTTCATAGAAATCTGATTTTAATATTATTATTTTTCCTCAGTTCGCGTGTGAACTCCCCCCATCAACCCTTGATGGGGTGCTCTAAGTTCCTTGCTCTCAGTTATCTAAACCGGTCCGGTTATTGACAACATAAACCAATTTTTTTTCTTTTTCAGATTTGGGTCAGGGACATGGAATGAGACCATGAGGAAACGTTACAACTTGGTTGATGCTGTTGCAAGGCACACGTTCCAGGTAATATATATATTTTTTTTAAAGAAATCTTAATTAAACAACACTGAATAATATTTAATCAATGAGTATTTGTGTGTGTGAAGGTGTATCCGTTATCGTGGACAAGCATATTGGTGTCGTTGGACAACAAAGGGATGTGGAATCTGAGGTCACAGATCTGGTCGAGGAGGTATTTAGGACAAGAGCTATATGTTCGTGTTTGGAACGATGAGAAGTCTCTATACACTGAAGCTGAGCCTCCTCTTAACGCTCTTTACTGCGGCTTAGCCAAACGCCCCCGTTAGATATTTTTCAAATATATTATTGTTTTTTACAAGTGGAGGGAAAAAAAATACAAACGTAAACCTCATTGATTTTTCAATAAACAGACAAAAAAAGAAAAAAAAAGAAAAAGCTTTGTCTTATGATTTATTTCAGATTGTATCCATGCATCTAAACCATATTTTCTAAACTACGATTAATATTAGAACGTCTGCTTACTGTTTATGAGGTTTGTATATGCTTGCGTTAAACTAAATCAAGTCTTGTACTAGAATAAACCTTCAAACTATTGAAATTTTTTTTTTTTAAAGTCGGTTAGAGGCTAGGTTTTATAACAGAAACACTAACGGACAACAAGCTCGGTTGAAGACTAAACCGAACTATACCAATAGTAGTAATACAAACGTCTATTAGACGTAGAATAGATACCTCCAAAACTTGACGTCTTGTCTGGATCTTGATAGGATCACTCGATTCAAGATTTCACAAGATTTTTCATTTTTGATTTTTCTTTCAGTTTTTTTTTTTTTTTCACTTTGAAACCAGAAAAGACTTTTCTATGAAAAACATCTTTAGTTAAAGACAAACCTTACACTGAATTTTCTCTTTTCTTCCCATCATGGTAGAAAGAAAATTCCACAATAAATGGACCCAAATTCAAAAAAAAATAAATGCGACATTTCAAAGCGATAAATGTCACTGACCATTATAAATCATCACATCACCAGCCACACACTAGACAAAAAAATCATAATAAAAACAGTAACAAAGAAGAAAAAAGATAGAAAAGAATAATAGAGGATGAAGAAGCAATATGTACTTGTTCACGGTGGCTGCCACGGAGCCTGGTGCTGGTACAAAGTGAAGCCGATGCTTGAACATTCCGGTCACCGTGTGACGGTTGTTGATCTAACGGCGTCTGGTGTGAACATGACCAAAGTAGAAGAGATTCAGACTCTGGAAGATTATGCTAAGCCGTTGCTAGAGGTTCTTGAGTCCTTTGGCTCGGATGATAATGTGATCCTCGTCGCGCATAGCCTCGGGGGTATATCTGCTGCTTATGCAGCTGACATGTTTCCTAGTAAGATCTCTGTTGCTGTCTTCGTTACCTCTTTTATGCCTGACACGACCAATCCACCTTCATACGTTTTCGAAAAGGTAAGCTATATTAAGCCCTAAATATAGCTTAAAGTTTATGATGCATTATAATATGATAAATGGTAAGAAAAAAAAAACAATTCTTTCAAATAGGCATTTTTAAGTTTTTATCACAAAATAGATCTCGAAAACTAAAATGACTAAAATAGCATTTTTTATTTTGAATATTTTAAATTTGTTTTTGTTTTTTTTTTAATTTGAAATCCTATCCCAAAACTCTATTCTTCAACTCTAAACAAAAAGATTTAGGATTAGTTAATCCAAATGGTATAAGTGTATATTTACTTATTTTTGATAAAAATTTAAGTCTAATTTGGTTATTTTTATTTTTATTTTTAAAATCTATATTTGTGACAAAAAGGTTTTTAGATATATCTTAGAGAATTTTCTCAAAAAAAAAAAGATAAATGGTTCATATTTTCGTTTTATAAATCTTTTAATTTTCGTAGTTAGGATTAGGGTTCTCTGATTTTATGGTTTTGACATTTATGTTATCAAATTGTTTATTATGAGAATTAAAAAGCTTTTTGCGTTTTTTTATATTCTGATTTGTGATTTGAACTGCAGCTAATAGGAAGCCTTTCAGAGGAAGAAATGGATTTGAAGATTGAGACTTACGGCACTAAAGACTATCCTCTAATGACTGCTTTTATTGGACCTAAGTACTTAAAAAACATGTATCTACACTCTCCAATTGAAGTAAGACTCAACAACTGCTCTGCTTTTTACAAAATAAACACAATTGAGAATTATCTTTTTACAAGTTTTTTTTGTTGATTTGTTAGGATTTTGAATTGGCCAAAATGCTGGTGAGAGTTGTACCAGCTATGACCAGTAATCTGACGGGAACAAAAAGCTTAACCGAAGAAGGATATGGCTCGGTTACTCGTGTGTATATCGTGTGCGGTGAAGACAAGGGTATAAGCGAAGATTACCAGCGATGGATGATTGAGAATTTTCCGGTTAAAGAAGTTATGGAGATTGAAGATTCTGATCATATGCCAATGTTCTCTAAGCCACAAGAACTCTGTGATCGCTTACTAAAGATTGCTGATAAATATGCATAAATAAACCCGAGAATGATCTCACTTATTGTCATAATATTTTTAAAAATAATCTTAAACTTCCACCACCATGCATGATAGGATACATGTTCCATGCATGAGAATATCAATAAAATTTATGAAATGAAAAAATATAACAGTAATTTCTAAATGTCTAAGGAAGGCTAATAAGATCAAAGGAAGTAATTGGAGATAAAATTTTCTGGACAGATGAGTTCAATAATGTTGGAAGTTGGATTTGGAGAGAGTTAATGAAGCTAAGACCTTTGGCAAGACCTTTTATCAAATGTTCGATCACATCAGGGAAAAATGCTTTATTTTGGCATGATGATTGGAACGACATTGGCTCTCTCTTGAGCATTGTTGGTGACAATGGACCAATGATTTCTGGAATACCTATTGACGCTAAGGTGGCAGATGTATGTCTAGGTAATACTTGGAATATCTCGAGAAGTCGCCATCCCTCTTTAATGCTCCTCAAGGCCTGCCTCCCATCAGCACCGCTGAACCTTCAGGATGGAGAAAAGGACATCTATTTCTGGAAATCTAGTCCGCTGGATATTTCAGGAAGATTTTCTACAGCCAAAACTTGGAAGGCTTTAAATATATGTCCCTCCACCGTGGAATGGCATAAAACTGTGTGGTTCTCAGGAAATATTCCAAAGCATGCTTTCAATATGTGGGTTATCTTTCATGACAGGCTGCCCACAAAAAATCGGCTCTTAGAATGGGGATTATCAGTCTCTCCGGTCTGCTTACTTTGTCAGACTGCAGATGAGGATCGTCAACATCTCTTCTTCTCATGCTCTTTTGCTGGACAAATTTGGCAGGATTTCTTTTCCCAATCAAATTTAAGTCCACCTTCTGACTTTCAGTTGGTGAGGCAGTGGATTCATTCTGTCACTCAAGATCAGCAGTTAAGGAAGATTCTGAACCTAATATATCAGGCAGTGGCTTATTTTATTTGGAGGGAGAGGAATGGAAGACTTCACCAAAATCCACCAAGGACACCTCCCATTATCATGAAAGAACTCATTAATCTCTTGAAGGCAAAGCTTGCGGCTCTGGATAGGAAACGAGTCACTCACTCAATTGCACAACCCACCACTTCATCTACTTCCAGCTTTCTAGGAACATGGTTTCGATATCTTCAACCAAATTAATCCTGCTTCACTCTAGTTTCTTTTTCCTTAATGCTTTATATCAATTCTAGGACTAGTCTTCACTTTCACTGGTCTAAATTTGTAAAAGATATCTCTTTTGGAGGGAACAAACAGATGAATGAAAGGAAGTTAAAAAAAAAAAAAAAAAAAAAAAAAAAAAAAAAAGAGCAGTTATCTTGCGCCACAAGCTTCATAAGAAATCGTTTTTATAGTCTTCGAAGACATATGCGAGCAAAAAGAGAGCGAGCTACACATATGGTGGTGATAAGACAAACGATCTTAACTTTGTTCTCTGTCGGTCTTTTACTCCACGCTGTATCTCCCAGCTTCCCCTGGAACAAGTTCGAAACCCTAAACCCTATTAGACGATGAGCAAAAGCAATTTAGATGTTTACTGTTTCAGCTTAGTCCACATACCTTGCTCCTGTTGGAATTGTAATTGTGGTGTTTGTTATCCGACATCTTAATTATTATCTTCTTCTTCGTCGGTGCTTTCTAGGGTTTTCTTCTCCGTCGAACGACACACACACACACACACTAGGGTTTTAACGGCTCTGAGAGGACTTCGACTCTTTTTTTCTTCTTTATACTAGTTTCATAGCTCCGCGCAAGCGCGGAGCCGAAGACGGTGATGATGCGTTATGATGTTTTATAGATGGAATTTTGTCATTTTTTTGGACATTTTTTTGTTTGGAGTTTAACCGAAAACCCGATTTAATTGACTTGATATACGAATGAGTGAAAATTCATATGCTTTGAAATATTCATATATTATTTTAGTAATGATTTTTTCGAATATTTGTGTTATTAGTGCTTTTATGTCCAGGATGGGTGATTTATTATGTTGCCATTGTCTAATTTGTAAGTTGGTAGTATATTATTGTTAAATAGTGAATTAGCATTTTTAAATTCTTTTTAAAGATTTTATTCAATTATACAAAGAAATATAGTTTAATGGATTGAAGAGAGAAAGATGAAACATGTTTATTAAGGGGTTGTGTGGAATGTTGAGAGATTAATCTTTATTAGTGAGTAAAGACCTGTTTTTATTTACAGATAAGATTGTTTAACAAATTCATATGTGTTCGTATTTCTACATTTTTTTACGATTTAATTGGATCTTAATGTTATTAGTGAGTTAATAACCATATGTAGCCAAACATAGGTATTTGTTAATATACAACTATAATATGGGAACGACAAGAAAATAATTTTGTTATCCGAAAAGAAATATAGTTTGTTGTTTTCAATGTGCCATGACATGTTTTGAAAATATATAACTGTAGTTTAATAATGCTAATGCTTCGTATAATTATATACATGTATGACTAAGATAGTTATTTTTTTGTATTTGTCAAAAATATTTTGTGGTAGTTTAACAATGGGAATGGTGGATTAAAAAGTTTAGTCGTATAGGACTTATATTCGAACACAATGAAAATGTAGTTGTTGTGTGTTTAAATGATTGGATTTGAAATTTGATGAGTTTTGAGTCTCAATTTAGATATGAAACTGGATTGTTTACTCGCCATTTTTGTTTCTCCTCGTCATCTTCAGCAATGTGACAAGCTCTTATGATTCTTGGTCTGATTGCGTTTTTAGTGTGTCATTTTGTGAAATTATGGTTTTTCTATAGCAACATGGAAGAGAGATTTGCTCACCTCAGTTAAGGCTGTCTCCACCGCATTCCTTACTCAGTGAACCTATGTTGATTCGGTGTTCTCGGAACCTGTAATAAGGAGGTTTGAATTTGTTGTATGACTTTGTTTCTTTTATTATTAGTTTCGTTTACTAAAACTCATACTGAATGATTTGAGGTTCTATATGTTAATTTGGTTGGTATGGCTTATGTTTACTTTAACATGACAGAGAGACTCGAAGGCTGCATGACGGACACCGGTGACGCTAGTTTTAGGAATTGGAGAAGCAGAGAGAGACATTTTCTAGAAGATGGTTAAAGTTAAGAGGAATAGATAAGTTTTGTGGAGATGCAGATAGGGTTCATCAAAGATGAGAATCATATATATATATATATATATATAGGATTTACATAGGGGATACAAATCAGGAACATTTATGAGCAAGCGATGTAAGCTGGGGAGATGAAGAGTTCACCGGTGAAAAAAATAGATTACGAACAGACACATGGCGTATCTCTGTAACTCAAACCTGTATGAGACGATGGTGAAAGGAATCTTAACTCATTTTAAACATTGACGATTTACAATATGGTAAAACTATAAGTGTTGTAAACTTGAGGATTTTCTTCATATAATGTGATTAATCCCAATTAAAAATGAAACTCATAATACACTTCGAGGCCGAATTTTAAAGGAGGTCATAGATGCAAAGACTTCCGGCTAAATATATATTAGTTTCGGCCACCAATGTACAAGTTATCCTGTAGTTTGGTGGTATGAATGTTAGTGCTTGTTCCTTAATAACCCGGGTTCGAATCATATGTTTGACAATTTTTCACATTTTTTAAAGTGGGACCCACCTAATGCTGATGTGGCGCGCTGAGGAGTCTNAGACTTCCGGCTAAATATATATTAGTTTCGGCCACCAATGTACAAGTTATCCTGTAGTTTGGTGGTATGAATGTTAGTGCTTGTTCCTTAATAACCCGGGTTCGAATCATATGTTTGACAATTTTTCACATTTTTTAAAGTGGGACCCACCTAATGCTGATGTGGCGCGCTGAGGAGTCTTGAAACTCAACTATTATAATATAGATGGTTTTCATTTGGGCTCTTGTATCCTTTTTAGTAAGCCTATTTACTAATCACAGATCTTTTAAACTGTTACCACCTTCTTTGACAAAAGCTGGAATAGCTCAGTTGGTTAGAGCGTGTGGCTGTTAACCACAAGGTCGGAGGTTCGACCCCTCCTTCTAGCGTTTTTGGTTTTTCATTTGATAGTATAACACTGTTGGGCTTCTCCTCATATGTTAGAAATACTTGCCAAGACACATTAATTAATCCACTATGAATCATGAGAGAATTTGTGTTTGTTATATGGAGAACACACTCACATGCATGTGTTAATAGCTTCTGTGTCTCCTAAACAAAAAAAAGTATGTTTTTTGCTTTTAAAATACAAGACAAACAAACAAAAAGTAGACAGACTAAATACTTTCAGTATCTTTTCTTAAATCTTAAATATACTCTGGTATGTTACTCTATGTTTGTTTTTTATGGATTTAAAACATTAAAATAGTAGACAATATATATTGTGTTATCTTACTATAAATTAAAAGTGAAATTGCAAAAAGATATATTCATAAAGAAATATGCAATTATTTTAACTTATTTATAAAGCTAACAAAGCTTGAAGCAAACGTGGTAAGTTAGTGAGATATAAAACTCCCTAAACAAGTTAGTTTTTTTCTTTCTGAGTCTGGTAAAGAAGTTCATTTTATTAGTAGTTTAGATGAAACATCAGAATCACATCCTGAAATCAACTCCGGATTATATGACAGATGTAGTCAGAACAAGTCGAGATAGGGAGAGAGATGTGTCCTTTGTCCAAAAAAAAAGAAAAAAAAGGGAGAGAGATGTGTCCTTACAAATCCAAAAGTATCAAACTTAACTATTAAAAATCAAATAATTGAGTTTTGCGTCTGTTGATTTTGATCTCGTTAGCTATTCTGTATTGGAAAGTCCAAGAAAACAACATTTCATTCTTACTAAATATTATCTATTCAATATTTTCTCGTAAATTAAGCTTATGACAGCTCTAGCTCGACATTGATATTGCCTGTACATTACAACAAAGAAACTATTCAATGGAAAACAAATAATATAAATTACAATCATGATCAGCACGAAATGTGCGAAGAAAAAGTCGCACCAACATATATATATATATATATATATATATATATATATATATATATATATATATTATAGATTAATTATTCTACACGTAAAATTATGTATTTATATCTTTATACGAGGATCATATTGCATCTATCATTGCATTAATCTTTTACGACAAATTCATAAAAGATCAATCAACTATCATGGCAAATGACTCGTCGTCCTGTAAGACAAACAAACCGCCATCATGTGGATCACTCGTAACCATCCTCAGCCTAGACGGTGGTGGAATCCGAGGAACCATCTCCGGTGTCATCCTTGCTTGCCTGGAAAAACAACTTCAGGTTATATACCCGAAACTTTTTTTTTTTTAATGAATGTTAAATTTATTGAAGACAAAAAATATTTTTTTACAAAGAATGTGCCATTGTTTTAAGGAAAACTTTGGATTACGCTAATAAACTTTCTTCTTCTCTTTGATCCCTCTCTCTCTATAAGCATATGTAATTTATGAAAAAATCATAAAGCAGATAAATCTACGATCTAAAATCCATTAGGTCTTTTTTAGATGGTAGTTTGAACTGATTAACCATTAAATAAATATAACAGGAGCTGGATGGAGAAGACGTGAGACTAGCTGATTATTTCGACGTGGTAGCAGGGACTAGTACTGGTGGTCTCATTACTGCCATGTTGACTGTACCGGACGCGACCGGACGGCCTCATTTTGCGGCCAAGGACATTGTTCCTTTCTACCTTGAACATGCTCCCAAAATATTTCCACAGCCCGAGTAAGAAAACAATAGTTACGCATATTAGTTACATATAAAAATAAAAAAGTTAATTACAAACGCTACGTATCCTTAAATTATAAATTTATGATATTCACGGATTTATCATAACTACTAAGTCAAACCAATAATAGATAGCAATAATAAAAAGGAAAAATCCAATAATGAACTTTGTCAAACAAACAACATATGAATGAATTTAACCTTAGAGGATAAGCGAGTATTAAGTGTATATCATATGCTTTTGGAATGATTTGTTTTCCTTTTTATTTGTCGACAAAATGCATAATGCAATCACTCAAGCATAACATAATGATGATAATATCTTGTACCACTTGATTAGATGTACATTTATATATGATTACATGTGAGAAGTTAAAAGACATTCTAAATGCAGAGGCTTGTTTGCTCTGTTACCTAAGCTTCCAAAGCTTCTTTCTGGTCCAAAGTACGACGGGAAGTATCTACAAACTCTACTAAGTAGTCTCCTTGGAGAGACAAAACTTCACCAGACAATCACAAACGTCGTCATACCTACCTTCGACATGAAGAAACTCCAACCCACCATCTTCTCCTCTTACCAGGTCTTTTTTCTCTCCATCTCTGCCTTCAACACACCACATAGAGTAATTGAATTCTCAACTTTTTGATCACTTTTTTTTTGTTGTTTGAGTAGGCGTCGGTTGACCCTAGCTTGGACGTCAAGTTATCAGACATATGTATTGGCACATCAGCTGCTCCCACTTTCTTTCCTCCTCATTACTTTTCTAATAAAGATAGTCAAGGAAAGACGAGTGAGTTTCACCTCGTTGATGGTGGCGTCACTGCTAGTAACCCGGTATAACACAACCTCTTAGAGCAACAACATCAATGAACTCTTGTGAACCCCCTCTTTTACATTACTTTATTATTTTTTTTTTCGTTTAAGTTTTAAAATAATAATAATAATAATAATAATTGGACCAATCAATAACTGGTACGTGGTGAACCCGAGTTCATGGGAGTTCATGACAGTGAACTTTTGAGAGAGAAATTCATAGAAATCTGATTTTAATATTAATTATTTTTTAGGTTTGCGTGTGAACCCTCATTGTGAACCTTCAATGGGGGTGCTCTTCCTAATTAGATTTCCCAAAAATGAACAACATAAATAATTGATCTATATTCAACTATATAAAAATAAAAAATAAATAAATAAATAATTGACCTATATTCAACTATATATTAACTATCTTGTCTGGTTATTGTGTTTGGTTGTGTTTATAGACTTTGGTGGCCATGACAGCTGTGACTAAGCAGATTGTGAAGAGCAATCCTGATATGGGTAAGCTCAAGCCATTAGGTTACGATAAGTTCCTAGTTATATCGGTTGGGACAGGGTCTACCAGAAAAGAGGAGAAGTATAGCGCCAAAAAAGCTGCGAAATGGGGAATCATATCTTGGTTATATGACGATGGATCTACTCCTATTATCGACATTACCATGGAATCAAGCCGTGACATGATCCATTTCCATAGTTCTGTTTTGTTCAAAGCCCTACAATCCGAGGATAAGTACCTCAGAATCGATGTAAGAGCCTTGCCATATATACATATCATGTTGCTGATAGTGTAGGTTATGTGATAACGTATGTATGAGTTGAATTGTAGGATGATACACTGGACGGAGATACAGGTTCTACGGATCTAGCGACAAAATCTAACTTAGAGAATCTTGTGAAGATTGGAGAGAAGGTGCTGAAAAACAGGGTCGTGCATATGAATATTGATACTGGTGCATATGAACCTATTCCAGAAAATGTTAGCAATGAGGAAGAACTCAAAAGGTAAATAAAAATGTTTTTAAGTCCCAAATATTGTGGGTGTGTTTCTTGGATCGCAAGAAATTTCATTGTTCGTTTTGGTGGATCTTACTTATGGTTTGATTACAAAGATGTTAAATATAGTTTTGGTAATGCAGATTTGCGAAAATTTTATCTGAAGAAAGGAAATTAAGGAGAATGAGTAGCGACACAATGACTAAAGATCCATCAAACTGATCGTTGAAACATCAATATGAGAAGACAGATTATGAATGTAATATTTGTGTGAGTGTGTTTACCTGGTTGTCTCTCTTGACGCCTTGATGCTTTTTTTTGTACTATTTTCAACAAATTGAATATTTGATATTCTCAAAATAATTACTGATATTTCAATGATCATGTACCACACAACTCTATTCTGTTTCAAATCCTAAAATCCAAAAAAAAAAAAAAACCAATGATAAGTACCATAACTCTTTCCTTAGGGTATATCTACAATCCAGGATAAGTGTCTCATAATTGATGTAAGAGCAATTCATGAATATAAAGCAAGATTTGTGATTAATCATTAATTTATGGTAAAAGGTTGTTTAAAATTGACAACAAAAAAATCACTTTAGAGAATATTGTGAACGGTGATATGAGAGAATGTGCTGAAAACAGATTTGTGCATATAAACATTGACACTGGTGTATATGAACCTGTTCATGATAATGTCACCCATGATCAAGAACTAGAGGTAGATTTAAAACCTTGTTGGTTATATACATGTTTGAAAAAAAAAAATATATTCGGATGAAAGGAACGTAAGCGTATGAAGTTTCATCAGGTTGAGAATAGCTTGATGGTCGCCGTGCATTTGACTTTATATACATAAAATAAGTTGATGTACAAATAATATTGTAGTAAGAATAATTTTCTGTACTAGACGTTTATGATTAATTTAGTTTATAGCTGATGATTCTGTGTGTTTTTATAATGAAGTTAGATTTCTTTCGTATTGTTCAAAAAAATATTAAAAGGGACAACTCTATGATTTTATATAATCATAAAAATATATCTAGCTTAAGAGAGGATGTTCAGTGTCAGAAGAACTTGACCCCTTCGTGGACAAAAATAAACATTCACAAGAAAACTCATCTATGTATGTTACACGCCAAAGAGTATTATTTAATCACATAATCGGGTTACTAATTAAGAAAATTTAACAGGTCAAGCAAAAGAAACTAGATACGTGAAGAATTGCATAAGAGGGTGTGATCGGGTAAGATAATGTATATTATTATTAGGTGTTAAGTTTGTATTTCTTTTTTAATTAACACGACAAACATTTGACTTACGGTCGGCGATAATGATCTTGCAAACGTGGACCATAGGGGCATGGATATATTTTGTACTACTTGTCACGGCATGGACTGGGAAAAAATAATACTGAAAATCGATTCAACAGTATAATTAAGAAATTATACTTTATTTTAAAAAAAATGACATCATAACACAATATATAAAAATAAAGTAGGAAAATACCCTAAAAGGCATTACTTTGACCGTAAACATATATTACTTACGTTGTTTTTTTACTAAACCTGGATTATGTAACTTGATAATTATTGTTCTTATCTAAGGTAAGCATGCCTAGAACTATTTCAAAAATTATGCAAGTCATTTTATTCTTCTCATTTTATATCTCCCTTGATATTTGATATCCAGTATAGATTGTTGACCAAAAACAGGTATTATATATGTGTTTCTAGAGGAAAAGAGATAATACTACGCATACTCCATTTTTTTTTTTTTTTTTTTTTTTTTTTGAAACACAAACT